AGCGAGCGGTTGCGGGACTGCGTCTTTACATGCAATAATAAATAACGAAAATTGGGCACGTCCTCAACACGAGAGGGGCTCTGGAAGGGTCCGGGATGTTGGCGAAGAGGCCACGAGGCGCGGGAAATGCTGCTTGACGACTAGAGATGAAGATGAGCAGTGAAATTGCAGAGCAACGCTCAAGATCCGGCGAGGACGAAAACGGAATAATTAATACATTTGTCTCCTCTGAAATGTATCAATGGGTGCGCTGCCATCCTGCTCGTGCGTCGCAGGGGTGTATAAGGGGGGTACATTACCCCCCTTCCCCCCCCCCTTTGTGATTACGTTCTCATCTAATGCATGTTGAACTTCTTTCGCACCGTATGTAGCCAACTGTGCTATTCGGAGGTGCGAGGGGAGGACAACAAACTAAACAAAAAAAATACGTTCTAAAGAAATGAGTTTATCAATGTAGATTATTTAAAAGTGCATAGCTCCAGTGGCTTCCTAATATCGGACGGAAGAGCGTTCCAGACGGCCACAGAAGCGCGTCTGAAAGCGCGCGACGTCGTGACCACAGTCTTTGTTCGATCGCGAGCAACCACAGACGCCGCTGCTGCTGCTGCTGCGAGGATGACCGCAGTTCGCGTGATGGTGTACGCTCCTTGACGAGATCAGCGTGGTGCCGTGGTTAATTTGTGGCAAGCAATTTGAACGCAGCTTACGGTGGAAGTGCGAAGGAGACGCACTTGGAGCCCCCCCTCCCCCCCCACCATCAAACCACGTTCCCCAATTGGGTTTGAATTCGGGCGCGTGGGGGTTTTGACGGAGGCTCCACTCGAAGGGCTTTGCGTCAAAGAGCCAACGCTCCTGATTAGTCGCGATGCGCTGCCCGATACCTTGACCTCCGTCGGCCTCGGAACGGTCAGGCCGCGAAGGGCTTCCGTTGCTTCTCCCGAGGTTTCTGCCCAAGTTTTTCACCGCAAGTCGCGCCATTAAAGTCCCCCTGGCAGAATATTTTGTTTTTGGAATCTCTGCCAAATGTTTTCGGGTTGCGGCCGCGTGCTGCTCGGCAGGGTGGTATGGGTGTCCGACGTTTCGGGAGGAGCTCTCCCAGCAAGCTGAGCAGGAAGTCGGACGCCGTGCCGAAACAGCGCACGTGGGTATGGATATTTACAGCAGAACCGCGCAAATCTCCTGACGATTATTCACCAGTCTTCAGTGAGGTACTCGTTGAGTTACTCGTTGAAGGTTGAGCCGACCTAGGGGAAAGAATCGCGGGATATGACTCACCACCGAGGTTAGCCAAATCACAATGCAACGTCTTCACACACACACACGTACCCTGTTGTTACAACATGATTATGGATGCATTTAACCAGAACCCTCTCGAAGCTTACGAAGATTGCACTTTATATTTGTATATGTCGTTAATACATCCGTCATGGACTTTATTCAAATACGCACGATGCCATTTTAATACAAACAGCATGAACGCATCGGATGCTCATGATGTTTATTCAGTACGTTGGCAATCAGTTGTTTGTTTCCTTGTGGCTTTCTTTGCATTCCAAATAAACGCAGAATCTCACCGTTCGGCGAAACATTCAAAACGACCAAAACAGTGCCTCCGGTATGGTGTCAGAAGTGATCAAAATACCGTAACGTGACACCCCTTCAACCAGGGACGCCTCTACCGACTTAATAACAGTTGCTTTTTTTTTAAAGATGATCCTTCTTTGAGATGGGAGGTCAATGACTTTTTCATGAGCATTTAAAAATATTCAACGCACGGAAAACTGTTTTTCATTTTGTTACGGTGTACATTAATATATTATTACATTATCATTACAGTACTACAGCAGCACCCTCTCAGCCTTACCGCCGGTCACGGGGTTCGATGGAAGAGCACTCGGCTTGCAATCGGATTGTTGCAAGTTAAAATTACTGTGTTACGGGGGGGTCGACCTCGGCCCATAATCCCTGCGAGGTCGATAACATAGGTACTGTAATTTGTGTATAAGTCACATATTGGTGGTCATGGGATTGCGTGGAGTTTTCACCACAGGTGCAGAGCTGTGCAGAGTATCCAACTCCAGATCTTACCGTGAGCCAATGCTCTGTGGGGATGACTGTACCGTGTGACTGTGAGGGATAGCGACGGCTTGGCGATGATGATGACTACAATTCCCGTGTTTGTAGAAGCATTTATACTATTATCGTCAGCGATACGAGCCAAAATACAAAATTCACCAGACATAATGAGTTGCACTCACGAGTGGATACCTTTTGCATATATATACACACACACAAAGGAATCTAATCTTTTCGTAATTTTCATCAATAACTTACAAAAAATACTCTACGGATTTTAATGTCGCCGCACTAACGAGGGCTTCTATATCGGGCGCACGCGATCACAGGGTCCTGGGCTCCCTTTGTGGTTCAAAGCAATGCTCTCGTCGTGGCTCTTCGGACAGATGAAGTGTCACATGTGCGTGTGAAACACGCCTGACCTGTTGAGACATCACAGACAACTGCCTCTTTCTCCCCCACCCCCAACCCAGCCCGCCCGCCCCTCGTTCGTTCGTTCTCTCTGATACTTGTTGCATTATTTAGCGGTGCTCTCACGGCGGCAATCCGAGAGTCCTCGGTTGGGTGGGCCAGTGGGTGGTGGTGGTGGGGGGGGGGGGGGGACCGTGAGGCACGGCACGGGGTCCCGGTCCCGCGGTGTTCCCGCGCGCCTTTCGTGGCGTGTCAACCCGGCGGGTGTTCCTGGCCCAGGGGCCGCGTTACCGACAACGTAATCCGCGTACTGATTGACGAAGAGCCAATTCCATCGCGTTCTCGTTTCCACGCCGCCGCCGCCGCCGCCGCCGTTCGCGTCAACTAAAAGGACACGCGCTCGGGCGCCAGCGTCGTCAACCCGTCCAAAGGCGGCTTGTGAACAATGAAATGAGCATTACGTGTGCAGCGTTTGTCATCATCAGCAGCATGATGAGCATCGTCATCATTAGCCATTGCGTCTCCACTGCTCTATGAAGACTTCTCCCATACCGTCACTATGGAGTGTACACGTACCTACAGTTATCACCTGCCACTGATGTTAGCCGAATCTCAGTGGTTCTGGTGTCCAGACTTCAAAAACCCACAATGGCCAGTGAGGTGAAGCATGGTTAAGAAACCCGCAAGACTGGCATGGTGTGCAGGTGAAGGTTGCCACCCGTTCTGGGTTTCCCAGTATTATCTTAATTTCGGGGTAGCTACTGTCCTGGGAAATGTATAAGTCTTCACGGGATATTAAAAGTTGCATCACAATAATACAAATAATGATGATGATGATGACGGTGATACACCACTCAAGACGATGCATTGACACGCACGTACTGTGAGAGATTCTCTTTCCCATGACATGTCCCGTTTTTTGTTGTTGTTGTTAAAGAAGAAGATTAAGTGGAAACCCCATCGGCAATGCATCCATCGACCCTAGGTCCTGCAAGGGCTTTATCAGCTCTGGAGGTGTGAGCGTGCAAGCGCCAGGCCGAGGGCACAACGCGTGCGCAATTCTTCTCGCCCCCTTCCCCCCCCCTGGCACCCTCTATCCTGCCCCCCACCTCCCCCCCCCCATCTAAATGCGCCGCTGCCTTGTCTCTTCTCAGAATAGACACTTCTAAAAAGCCAGACCTGTGTCACGCAAGTCAGTGTTTGAGCGGAAGCCTTGTCTCCGTAAGGTCCCAATTTTCTTAACCGTCGTGCGCGCAACAATTAGCACAGAAAGGTTCTCATGTGGATTTTAGTTTTTTTTTGTTGCTTTAGGGGGGGCATCGCGACTGGCTGCAATTACGCTGGCACGGGGCGGTGGGGGGGCATTGTACAGCGCAAGCTGAGGTGGGGTTTGCTGGATATGACAGATTGTCCTGCTGGGGCAACGACGGCTGTGATTTGGCCAAAAGAAACGGAGGTGGTTATTGATCGGCTCGCAAGCCGAGTGTGCCTCGCCGCACCTGAGACGGAGTAGGAAGCACGTGGCAACGTGACGCCATTCCTGTGGCTCGCCAAAAAACAAAAGCATCGTTGAATCTTAATTGTGTAATATATATGTTTTAGAGCACAATTATGTGTCTGTGTGTGTTTAAATTCGTTGTCCTTTGCCCGAACCTCCGATTAGCACGGTTTGCTACGTACGATGCGAAAGAAGTTCAACATATACTCAAACACAGACTCAAACAGAGACCCATAGTTTGTTGTCCTTACCCCCGCACCTTCGTTTAGCACAGTTGGCTACGTACGGCGCGAAAGAAGTTCAACATACATACATACAACACACGTGCACATGCCCAAAGGGACCGAACCCGCCAAGAAGCCAGGAGCAAACAGCACTCTTGAAAGTGTAATAGATAACAGTGAACGTCTGTTGAATTTGAGCAATGTTGCTGTATATAAGAACTTGGCAAAAGGAGATAATGGGAGGGAATTCCAGGATTGAGCCGTGCGAGGAAACAAGGAGGAAGAGGGCTGTTTTTCTGACCATGCAATTTGGTGGTTGAACAAAGTATGGGTGAGACGAAATGTTCACGTTTAATTGAGGCAAAACGTCCTACAATTGTGTGTGATGAGAATAAAATAATAAATAAATTGATAAAATAACACAATAATATTCTCACGACGTTTCGGCCACAACACAAGCGGCCGAAACGTCGTGAGAATATTATTGTGTTATTTTATTTTATCAATTTATTATTTTATTCTCCTTCTACGTGACTTTACCGAAAGAACCAAAGAAGATGAATCCTTGCAGTCACGAAAGCTTTAAATCGAAAAATTGCGTGTGAAATTTGTTTTTTTTTTAGTGGCGTGAAAGCGACCTGTATGATACCGCAGTTAACACGAACGGCACGGGATTTGCATTGTGTGTGTGTTTTTTTAATGAACAATCGCTGCGTAGTAGTAGTGGTGGTGGTGGTGTGCGGAGACGTTCCCACGTGCACCACCGAACGAGGAAAAAGGAAAAAATAATCTTCGGGGTGAACTCTTGAAACTTTATTGTCAACAATACACACGAGGAGCTGGGATTAAATGTTGGTCTGAGTGAGGAACACGTGTACATGGTTCGGTTGTGACGAGCGGCTTTGTGACGAGGTGCTGTGATGCGCAAAAAAAAGTACAGCCGATGAACAAATCAAAGGGTTCCCGCAGCATCCCCCCCCCCCCCCAACGATGCACGGCCCCACGGCATCGGATCGCATGTCAACAATATTGGCCCCGACCCTAACGAGTATTGAAAAACGTTGGATTTCGTAGAAACTTGTTACCGTGAAATAGGATCCCATAGGGTTGCGTCCGTTCACGCGCAAAAAAACCCGTTAATAACACTGGTGGTTATTAGGAAAGTTATAATTCACCCCGCCTAGGCGGTTTGATGATTTGAGGTCACGATTCCACTGAAATCGATTCCATTGTTTCCTTGTTTTTAGAGATTAATTTGTATTTTTTCTTGATTTCACGGTCTCGTTTGTAGTTTTGTTCAGTAGCCAAGATTTATTTTTATCACTTATTCTGTATGTAATTTGCAAACATTGTAAATAATCGATTCTCAGACCGATAATTGAGTGCACGTGTCAAGAATTAATAATGTTTTTTTCATGATGCATCGATGTTTTATTACACGTCCAGTAGTTAGAAAAGCACGTGACTGGATTCCACAGGGCTAGGATTGTTAACGTGAGATCACATTCCTTCTGGCAAGTCGAGTTCGTTTGCATCCAGATCGTACTAGGATGTGTTTTTTTGTTTAAACAATCCATTGGACTTGACGCAGATGTCCGTTTCCCTAATGCCTTGTAAGGACGTAGATGGGTGGGACCAAGTGACTCCCGCGCATTGCACTGCGATCACGGCGACCTGAGTTCTATTCCTGGCCACGACTTGACATCGGCGGTTGAGCGATATCCGAACTGGTCCTGTCCCGCAAGGCCCTCTCACTGACCAGCGTGGTGAAGTATGTTCAAACAACACCTCACGACCGGCGCATCGAGCGAGTGGAGGCCTTTGACCCAGCGGTTGATTGGCAATTACTTAATTACTTTGTTATATTTTAGTGAATTTTCTCTATTTTTGCACCTCTATCGGTGTTGTTTGTATTGTTTCCTGTTGTTAAAAAACACAGAGCTTCATAGCTCAGCTGCTTCCTCCTCTCGTCTCAACAAAGCTTATGATTCTGTCCAAGCTGCCTCTACGTTGTCATCACCGCTTGCCAGGTGGATGCGCGCGGCGCGAGTCCTTTGTGAGCACGCAATTGTATTTGCAAGGGGTCACTTTTTTTTTGTACGGCGCCGGTCGCGTTGGGGTTTTTTTGTTTGTTGCGTCAGCACTGGGTGGAATGGCACGGTGTGGTCCTCGCGACGAACAACACTTGGTGTGGGGGGGGGCGGTGGGGTGGGGGGCTGGGATGGCAGTGTGGATATTGGGGGGGGGGGCGGTGGGGCGGTGCGGTGGGGTGGGGGAGGCAAAGAACAGCATAGACCTTACACCAAACCAGGCGTAAAATTGAAATAGAAAAGGAGAAAACAAAACAAAATAAACAGTAAAGGTCACGTTCGTACTCGGCACGAGCACATAACGGCACTATTTTGCGTGTGTGTTAAACATGAACAGCGAACATTAATTTAAAATAAACATATGATCTCTCAATCTAAAATATAACTTTTTTTTTAAATTCAGCTACAAAGTGTGCAAACGTATCTTTAAACAAGTCATTTCAGAGATCCTTAGATATCAAATACTGCTTTTGGATCGGTCGAGTGAGATAAAGGGTCTACCAATCTTTGGCCCTAGCTTGCTGTAAGATGCAGGTAGGATCCTCTAACAGACCTTATTTGGTTGTCTTCCGACCGAACAAGCCCTGTCTGGACCCTGACAGTAAAGCCACCTTTTACAAGGGAGCTCCACTCAACAGACAGCATTCCACCACCGCTGCCACCATCATCAAGGCTCGCTCATCCCATTGCATTTGAACATCTCAAGGGGGTTAAACACTTTGCTGGCTCCACGTGGGTTGTTAACACCACATCTCTTCGTCTTATGCAGCTCCTGAACAAATATTTCCAATGGGAAATCATACAAATCATTTAAAACAACAACAAAAAACGATACATCGTAAGACACAATTTTGTATCTTGCCCGAATCCGAAACATTCTAGTTGTCAATATGGTAAACATTTACCACAATATATGGTTCGTACTTCGAAAGACAAACACCAACGTCATTAATAAACATAGTTTAAAACGGGAAGCGTATACGTTAAACACATCACAGGGGGAGAAAGCGGCAGCTGTTAGACAAGTCTTAAACGGGATAGGTTATTGGTAGTTGTTGTTGTCTTTGTGCAGCTGCCTACGCCTGTTGGCTGTTCCCGGGGTCATTGGGAAAGTTGACCGGACTTTCCTTTAAACAGAAACAAAGGAAAACAAGACGGGGTTGAGACGGACACACAAAAAAATATGAACCGTATGTACAACATAGCACTGCGACAATTCTTGGTCCATCAAACAAATGGAAGTGGATTTCGTTTAATCATCGGATTTTCAAGTACGCTTGAGACTCGTTAACGTTTCGTTCGCTGAACTTTTACAAAGCTGCTTGAAATGATTTCCACCCCCCCCCCCCCCCCCTCAGCGGTATCGGATACAGACAGACGCGAGAAATATATGCAGCGATGCGCGTGGGGAGAGCCATGATTACCCGGGCGCGAACCTATACTTTCGGGGTGTGGGTGTGTGCGTGCGTGCGCATGCGTGCGCGCGCGTGTGTGTGTGTCATGATATACACAAGATATAGACTCCCCCTGGTGTGTCCGTGGGCCCCCAGGATTTTTGCATACTCACAAAACGAAGCCGCCTGTTCTCGCGACCGCGACACTTTCCGTCCTCCAACGTACACGGGGTTAAAGTGCATTGGGCGAAAACACTCTCATTGGTTCAAGGCTTCATTCCGTGTAATTCTTCATATTGCTTTTCTTCAAGTTTTGGGCTCAAGGTCCCATTTATCCGATTGTTTCGTTTTTTAAAATGCAGGTATGGAAGACTATACAACAATGGAAGAAGGCTCTCTGACACATTTATACATTAGCAAAAAAATCAGGACACTACCACCCTAAAACCTAAACCTATACTATACATCCGTTCAGACTACAAAATAAAAACTGTTAGCATACTATGAAAATAATTCTTTAGAATACTATGACAGTGTACTTGTAAATAAATCTTTCAATAAAACCGTTAATATGTAGAAGTAAATATACTTTCTTCAAGTATACTTTTACAGTAATAGTTTTATAATATACATATACATGGGCTCTATGCCCATTAGACTATATATATATGTGTATTTATATATGTATATATACTTTATATATATATTTGGGTAAATTACAGCAATGTCCAATGGGGGGGGGGGGGGCTCCTTCACAAATGTTGACGATGTTGCTGCATACAAGAGACGTGGAATGCATGCAATTCCAGTCAGGACCCGCTTGGCCGCGAGCTTCCCAAGCGACGCATGGTTTCCTGCGCCCAGTTTCTACGGCTGCGTCGCTCGTTGTTAACGTTCCAGCGTAGCAGGAAAAGAAGAACGCAAACAAACCCACACCCTTAGTGGCAGATTCCCTGAGGAGCCAGACCACTCTGCTCTTCCTTCCAAAGGACATTTGACTGGGGGTCAGCTTCAAGTTATCAAATGCGGACGTGAAAGCTTGCCTTTTCTTTTTTTTTTTACTTCCAGCAGAAGCAGATATCACGCCTTGTGTGCGCGGTAACCCAATATGAGTCTTTCCATTTAGCGTTCACACTTTAGTCTGGCGTTTCTCCTCACGGCTTGGGTGCACTCGGCGGTTCGGTTGCTGAAGTTCTTGATGAGGCCTGTGCATCAGGAGCTGGGCCGGAGGGCATCGCATCTCCAGGGTGGCCTGACGGGGCCGACTCCTTGCCCACGGAGGCTGTGCTTGGTGCCGATGTGTGCGGAGTGGGATGGACGTCCTTTGAGCCGGGCGACGGGCTGTACGATTGCGCTAACGTTTGTGCCGGAGGGGCGGAGGGCAACTTCGCGCCGGATGAGGAGGTGGACTCCGCGATCGAGGAAAGTGCACAAGAAAACGGAGTGGCGGCGGCGGCGGCGGTGGCGGCGGTGGCGGCGGTGGCGGCGGTGGCCGTGGCTGCGACCGCGGCGGGCGTCTTTAAATCGGCAGCCGCCTCCGGCGTGGCCACGGCGTCTCTGGACGCGACGAGCGGGCTCATCAGGGGGCTCGCGCCGGGCGAAGGGGCCGCCGAGAGCGAGGCGACGTCTTTCGAAGCGGTGGAAAGCAGCGGGGAGTATGGCTGCTTCGACACACTGGCGACTACCTTCGATGCCGACGCCTGCAGGGCCTGCAGCGACGAGGCGAGCGCGGTGGTCTCTTTCGGCTGCGCCACGGGCGCGGCGGGCCCCGGCAAGCAGGGAAGCGTGGTCACGGACGAGGCGGCGCTCCTGGCCAGCGGGCTGCCTGGCGGCGTGGGCCGAGGGGAGGACGAGACGCTGGAGTCTCTCGCAGGAGCCGGCGAGAGGAAGCTCACGTGCGGCAGGGATGGCTGGGATGCCGAGAGCGGCTTGAGGTCCCGGTTGAGCCTGCTGCCGCTCGTGCCCTGCAGCGTCTGCGCCAGTGGGTGAAGCTGCGACTGGGTCGGGCTGGCGGCGTCATGCTGGCTTGCAATTGACAGCTGCGAGCTGGCGGGGCTTGGCGAGCCCCTGCCTAGGCTCACCTCTCTGGGCCCGACCAGTTGTCCCGTCTTATTGAAGCGAGGTATGCTGTCGCTGGGCCAGTGGCCGAGCAGGGAGGATGGAGAGCCGACCAACTCTTGCTTTGGAAGCGGAGACCTTCGTGAAGGGCCGGACGATGGTGTGGATGGCCTGGATCCGAGTGGGGACACGTAGGCCTGGCTCTGTTCGGTCGGTTTGAAATGAACCGGGGAGCTCCTTCCCGTACCGGGGGGCATGGTGGATTGATGGGCAAAGTGTTCGGTAGGGCCGGGTAACCACTCGGCGGCCCTCAACGACTGCTGGCTCTGAGCGGGCGAGTGTGTGGACGAGCTGGGCGAACGCTGCCCAGCGGCTCCAAGCGGCTGCGAGCTGACGACCACCGACCTCCGAACGCTCTCCTGCGTCGCGGGAGAGCGCTGGAAGAGATCCGCGGACGTCTGCGTCAACCCGGGCGACTGCTGCCCTCGCTGACCTTGCACGGGCGACTCTTGCTTGGCTCTGGTCAGCAGCTGCGACTGCCGAGGGCTCGGCGATTGCACCATCGGGCTCTCGGAAGGCACGCTCTGCCCGCCGGCTGGCGTGCTCGCCACGGGCGGCAGCAGCGCCTCGGCCTCCGCCTGCAGGCTGTGGTGGTGCTGCATGAAGGCCAGGATGGAGGTGGTGGCCAGCAGATGCACGGCCGAGTTGAGGCCCACCGGGCTGTCCGGGTTGGTGACGGTGACGCCGAGGCGAGCCTGCTCGGCCATCTCGCGATCGCGGCTCACCATCTTCTGGATGAGCTCGCTCTCGCGGTTGTTGGAGATGCCCATGTTCCTCTCGTGCTGCACCTTGTGCAGGAGGATGGAATTCTTCTTCCCTGCAAGGCAGCAGAAATGGAGGCGTTTAATGTTTGTTGTTGTTTGTTGTACCGGACGTTTGTGATATTTGTCTCGTGACCTCAAGCTGATTTGGTTTGAATTTGCCGTTGCCTCAATCAATCTGATGGAGTAGCTGTACTAAATATATTGATCTGTTGATATGCACTGAGCATACATTTAGGGTGGGGCCTTCAGGTTTAGGGCTGGGCCGATAAGGAAAATTCACCTCATTCATAGGACAGGCTGTCCTCTAGTAAAGTAAATATATAACGTTACATTCGTAGCAATACTTTTAAATGTGGCTTATGTCATGCAGTCGCATTTTTTTCAACCTAAAGTTTTAAACATGCTTCGAATATAATCCAATATAGTTTTACTTCCGACATTTTGATTTGGCATGCAAGTGAAATTGAACTGAAGACACTCCAACTTTATTTAATTTGACCGAGTTCAGCGTATGTGCATGCACGTACGTGTTGTATATAAGCGCGCAGGGTAGGTAAAACATTTGTTGAATATCTATCGGGTAGTATACATGCGACCTATACGAATGACTTTCTAGGAATTCAGATGGGACTGCGTTTCCTGTTGCTATGACAGACTCTCCTTCCTATTTGAAACGTTCCTCCCCCCCCACCCCCTCGAGGGAAAGTCCCTTTCTCTAAAAACCCTCTCCCTCCCCTCTTGTTAACATTTCAAAAAATCCACTCCACCACATAACAGGGCTACTCCCCGGGCTGTTATCTCTAGGGTGATGGTGGTGGTGGGGGGCTCTCATTTGCACATACAGTGAGAGTGATCCAAGACGTGAGTGAGCTAAACATCTCCTATGAGAGGCGCAACGCACAGCAACGCTTTAGGTGATGTCACGTAAATTGTAAATGACATTTCCCTCCAAAAACATGCCACGCACACACACACTTAACTGCAAAGTGATATGATCCATTGGACTGTTTGCTCAAGAAGGGGCAGGGGGGGGTTGTGTCTTTGTATTTCATTTAATCACCCGGGTGAACTGAAACGTGACTGATTTACACGCAGCCTCGCTGTCTGATCCGCCGAAGACTAGAAACGCGCTTGGAAACTAGATTTTTAAAAGTATGAGTTGGGAGTTTACTTCAGAATTAGAATCCGATTCTTTAGTTAGACTGGAGGAATCCGATGAGCTATAAAGCTCTTTTCCACAGATGTCCAGTAGGGGCGAGTAAGAACGTTACAACAACAAACGGTACACAAAACCACGATAGGAGTGTAAAGTACAAGAAATGTAAACAAATCACCCAAACACAAAAAACAACAACACTAAACCATCCCAATCCTGCCAGGCAAAGCCCACTGAAGTATGAACTTATTTTTTCAGAAGCGACCTTGCCACAAATGATAGCTCAACAAAGTGAGCACGAGAATAAGATCATCAATATTGGCGAGCGCGAGAAGTACAGGGTCCTTCAGAAATATCGCACAACTAACTAACTAACTAACGATGTGTTTAACAGGAGGAGAAAGATGAGACGGATTCAATAAAATGGTGGAAGAAACAACCACAACAAATCTTTTTTTTTTACAAAAACACACAATTTAAGTACAAGAACACGGTTAAAGTGTCCATAATGTGGAGGCAGTGTTTGTTGATTATTTTGAGAGTCCTGTACGACGAATGACATTTGCGTGCATTGTTGAACGAGTAGGCGCGCATTTAATAATAGGTGACAAGGTGACATTGGCGTCGACTGAAAAAATGTTAATGGTTTTTTTTGCCAGCGTCACTGCAACGCGGTGGGAATGTATAATGTGTTGCCATGGCGATCTGACGTTATGAGAAGAATTTTATTCCCCACGCTTTACTCACGTTTGTACAACATTATCCAGCACACCCCCGCCAGCAATTGTGCCGCTATTGATTTGTGTCGACCATTAACGCGTGGAGGGGGTCACACGAAACGCGCCTCAGTCAAAGCCGAACACGGGAGCGACATTTGCTCACGCCGTGTTCGCACGGATCGTGCCTTCCTCGCCGTGTCCCCGCGCTAAGCTCTCAGGCATGCATTGTTATTATTATTACTACGTGAGTTTAAAAAAACTGATTGTTTGCACTAATTTGTGTTGATAATTCAACAGAAATGTTATCCCCCCCCCGCCCCCGGCCCTAGATTTCAATGTTCCTGCCCGTACCTCGGGGTTTTCCCCATTTTAAACCACCGACCAATAAAGAGCGAGTTATTAAAGTTTATGACTTGGAAGTTGTTATTGCAATGTCCAGCAACTCGCTAGGTAATTGCACCTAGCCACGTTTGAAAGGTAAACAATTACAGCCACCTGAGCTGACATAATAAAAAAAAACCCTTTGTACATTTACAGTGGCATGTAACGGAGAGATCGAAAAGCACGTCAACTTTTTCACCTGATTGTTTTCATTCTAAGTTTTAATGCTGATTTCTGCCCCGTGTTTAAAAAAAAAACAACAACAATATTGATATTCTTAGTTCTTTCGGTAAAGTCACGTTGAAGGGAAACAATAAAATAATAAAATATATACACAAACGGTCGTCATCAGGTGTTGTGGTCGAAACGTCGTGATAATTTTTATTGTTATATATATTTTATTATTTTATTGTTTCCCTTCAACGTGACTTTACCGAAAGAACTAAGAATATGAATTACTGCAGTCACGAAAGCTTTAAATCAAAACTATATTGATATAAACAATACAAATGCTCATTTTGAAAAGCTGGAAACCCGAAAATGTGATAAATGTTCCAGGATATATATATATATTTTTTTACGACCCATATAATTTCCTCATCGCCGTGTAAAAGTGGCCAAAGCTCCTTTTGTTAGGAACCGAAGGAGCTTCAGGAATTTGAAGAACGTGGAACGAAACGTCGTACATCGTGCCTCACGTGTGGAACAACTCGAAAACGCGTCTCAGAGCCGCGATCGTAAAGCAGGCCTTTCATTACTCCAATGTGCAAACTGTATATTACAAAAAAAAATACATACTCATTATGCTGTTTAAGTGTTTCTGCTGTGCTGCAAAGATGTGCCACTTAAATGAGTTCAATAGTTCAGTGTGCGTTGCGCTTGAGTTGTCTTTGTCACGTGAGTGGATTTTTTTTTACTTTTTTGAAGAGATTGCAGCCATTTAATGTCTGTAATTTAGGAGATATTCTCATTAAATGAGCCAATTAGATAAAAAAAAATCCGTGAATGTACAATAGAATAGTAAACACTGTCACATAAAACGTAGTAATTCCTCCAAACTTAGAGAATCATTTACATGTGCACGAAAAAATAATGTAAAAATTGACGCTCGCATGCATGAAAATGTAGTAGCAGGGTAGTTTCGTTTTTTCCGCCTGACATTCTTTGGTAAAAATGTAATTGTTGTCTCGGATGTCTGGGCTTTATAATCTGAGCTCGATTGATCTGAATGTTCGTGATCACATTTTACTTTTGAATGCTCCGCTTCTAAGCCGAGGAAATAATTATTCTCGGCACCAGACACATGTTGATTGGTTTTCCACCGAGAGAATCCCTCTTTACTTAAATGGATTACCGAGACCCTGGGGGACAAGGAGGTTGGAAATACGTGAGAATAAGCGTTCCCAAATTTCTCAAGTCGACTTTTACAATGTTGCTTTCTCTCGGGGCCGTACACGAGCCTGGGGGGGGGGAGGGTGCAGAGGGGGGTGCTTCCACTGGCCCACCACCACGGCGTGATTAAATCAGCCATCCGCCAAACACCACGTAAAATATGAATTAGCGGCGAAGAACGACCCGCGTCGCAATGGCGACTATGCGTGGGAGGCTCCGCCGAGGGCACGCAAGTGAGCGCTCGGCGCCGCTCGCTAACATGTGCACGCTTTAAATTTTAATAGGACCCAATGTGTGGGCCAATCTGTGCTCTCGTTTGGAGGCGTCGAATGTGAGCGGAGCCTTCACCAACGGCGCGCTGGCCGTCACGCGGGGGGATGAGGATTTCCCCTTCACAGTTGTAATTACTTCACGAACCGCGCCGGCGGTGTGGGGGTGGACGCACAGGGGCGAGCGTCCTTGACAAAACGTTGTCATACGACTGGAGCACACCAACGAAACGGAGCTGACATTCTGTGGGCATTCGACCTTTTTGCTCACAGCAGGGGAGCGGCTCTCGAGGGGGCCCCCTCCAGAGCGACATTTGAGCTACGATTACAAGCTGGCAAAGACGTCTTTGATTAGGTGGGAGCACCCACGCTTTGCCCCCACCGCATGCGACCTGCTTGACTGCGGTGTTACCACTTCGGTGCAGCTGGGCGGACAGAGGTGGCGTGGGTGGGGGAAGATTGAATACATTTGCGCCATTATTTAAACTGCCACCAAGGGGAGATTGAGACGGCGGCGACTTCGGGATTGCAAATGCATGCAGGTGGGCACCATTGTGATCCTAGTGGGGAGCGGTAGTGTAGCGGTTAGCGCTGCAAACCCGGCAACCGGAGTTTGATTCCCGCTCACGGCCAACACCGGTGACGATGATCCGAATCGGTTCCTGGGCCTCTCCTAGGTCGACTCAGCCCAAATGAGTACCTGGTGCGGTGTGTAAACATCGCCACTGGTGGAGACAAAGGCGGTGGGGCGTGGTGCCGGCCACCCACCCCCTCGTGTATCGTTCCGGCCTTCATAAGTGCTCGCTAACAGCACTTGCCCCTACAGTCTGTTAAGGCTATACGGGGGATCTTTTTTTGTTCTTTGATCCTAAGCTCATTCTTTGGGGTGAGAGGGTGGGGTCTTCAACATACCTGAGGCAGGACCGCAATTGCACGGTTACTGATCATTTCAAGGTGTAACAACGCATGGAACTCTGATGAAAAACTGCGGGAAGCGTATGTGCTTTCTGGAGGGCCATACTCTATAGAGCCACTGATTGCGCTGAACCGCACTAAATCTAATACGCGCTTCAAATGTAGTTAAATATAAAAAAAAGCCACAGATACAGTACATTATCTGAGAATTACAACTAAATATCATTGTGATATGCCTAAGGTCTAATTACCATGGGTTTTATTGTTAAATTACTGTTCTTGGTTTAATTATACGCCGTGGCTTTGGTTACGTGTCTTTGATTTGTGTAATTGTCCTGTAAACGCCACTCGACGATACCCATCGCACGGTTACAATGGCCCTGAACGGGAGCAGAGCAATAACCCTTTCTGTGTGAAAAATGCAGCACCCTAGTCCAGCGTGCAGCCATTTTGGCAGAACCATTTTTTGAGTTATTATGAATTTGTTTTTGGATGAGACCCGTCGTCTCGATAAAATGTTATTTTATTTTAAACCATTCCCTTCCACCACACAACGGAGCCAATCAAGTCAAGTTGTCACGTGGGCAAATATGCAAATGTGATTGGAACACCAGGGCTCTGTTGATATTGATGGCCAAGTGGAAACCGATTAAGCTCCTCTGAGCTAATTTAAGTAATCATTAAATAACACTTAAATAAATTAATAATGACAGAAAACGGCTATCCATTTACAGGAAATCAATTTACAATTTATTGTTATGTCTTCAATAAATTTCCATCACTGAATCCGCAGTGTTAATCCCCATAATGCTAATTTAACTAACCAAATTAACCAATTAATCATTCACTCGAATCACAATAGCATCGAATCTCCAGCTACGTCACCTTCATATAATTAAGGACAGGCTATGTTCAACAACCAGGAAATAGATTCACCTTATTGCACAAATCTAAACTGCCAATCACAACCAATCAACCAGCCATCAACTTTTAATCATTAAAACTGGTTCGCCTGCATAGTTCGATGTCATGGCACCTACTTAACGAAGCTGGACCAGCAAGATGTTTGGCGTGAAAGCTGAGCTCTTGCTAACACCGAATTATCATATTTTCCCCTAACGTCAGGTGGTGAAGGGTTATGGTTAAACATTTGCATTGCACCTACACAACGATATAACACTAAAGAAACGATTTATGGAGCATAATATTGGTCGTGAAACTCAACGTATAAAATGAATAACCCACTCACGTTTGCCATAATGTTTAACTTTGTGATTTAATTTGTCTCAGCACTTGATTTCTGTGACTGTGCTCGCTGTTTACGATGCCTACGATGCCTTTGCTTTGCAGTTTAATGTGTTCCTCCAGAGTGCTGTTGCAGTTATTAGTCATTTCATCTTGGTTTTCCCTAAAAAATAGAACGCTGCTCTCAAATGGGATCTTAAATTACAAGAGTAGTGATGATGATTATGATACAAATGCACAGCCCTTTTTCAATGCGCTGTTGAATGAATGTCTTGACCCCATGCCATATCACCCGTGGTAATGTTTGACCATATTTCACCACAATGGTCAACGTGTGTGTGTGTGTACTTCACCGAAGGCATTTACCAGTCCTTTTAAATAAAGGAAATGCATTGTTTTGTATTCTCGTACAACTATAGGAAACGATGAATCTCAAAACTTTGCAAAGATAATCTACCTCTGTGAGGGCAGCTGATTGATATGAAACATGTTATGCATGCTCGTTGACTTTCATTAAATAAAAATGTTTTAATAAATCATTACAGCTTTCGTGACTGCATAAAATTACTCATTGTTTTTTTCGGTAAAGTCACGTATGTAGAAATACAATAAAATTATATCAAAACAAAAAACAATCACGACGTTTCGATCACAACGCAAGCGATCTTAATCAGGTGTCAAGAACAAATCACGGAGGTAAATACAACAAAAAGATGAGAGACGAGAATTCAGGTTTGTTGAATTATCGTCTCTCATCTTTTTGTTGTATTTACCTCCGTGATTTGTTCTTGACACTTGATGAAGATCGCTTGCGTTGTGATCGAAACGTCGTGATTGTTTTTTGTTTTGATATAATTTTATTGTATTTCTACATACGTGACTTTACCGAAACAACCAATGAGTAAAAATGTTTTACCAGTTGATTGCTTTATATACTTTCAAAGTGTACCTTTATCACGTATTCTGTATGTGTATTTCGTGACACCCCAAATTAGACCGTCAAAACAAACGTGCCGGGGCGATTGCCTCCCAGTCCAAGGATCAACGGCCCATCTGGAGCCCCATCTCGGGAATGTTTCCTTCGGCTGACCTGTACCCTTCGGCATTCCGCCCCGGAGCGGGCCCAGTGTGGAAATATGCCCGTCATAAATCCTGCACTTCAGAGATTGCACGACCTTGCTTAAAGGGCTTGCATAATTAATCGTATGTAAGCGTGAATGATGACGGTGAATAACTGTGGTTCAACGGATGGTGCATTTGTCCAGAGAGCACTGTGGCTGAGGGTTCCGCTCGGCTCACCATCAGAAGACTCCCAGTTAAAATCCCGATCGAGGGTCGACTGGGTCTACTTAACCTTCTCATGATCGCCGTCAGCTACGATTAATCCACTGCTGGGTGAAGGCCTCCCCGAGGAGGAGACGTGTTACCACACTTTACCGGGTTGGCCAAGACAGACAACCACCTGGCATTGGGAGCCCAATCATCAAACTGAGGTGACACCTAAACACTTGCGAGTTATCTACGCTTTACTCTTATAGGGTAGATAAAATAGCTACCACGTTGTGGGATGTCTGGAGTGGTGATATTATGCAGAGTCTGACCGTTTAAGTAGTGAGGCACTTTTTTAATTGAGAGGCCACAGTAACTTGCACAAAAAATAGCGAGACGGAGAAAGAGTTTTTTTTCTTCTTTTGACTGCTAATGCGAAGGTTTTCGTGGTTATGCTGTGGATCGTATTTTATCACGTGTTCTTCTGCGCGATGTCTGACGTTTCGTTCCAGGTACTGAGCTTCTTTAGGAACTGATCATTGTTCTGCTGGCTGACCTGTACCCACCAGGAAGTGAACATTCATCTCTATGAAGAAGTTCCCAGCAGGTGGAGCGAAACGTCAAGACTTCGTGCCCAGCAACACGCGGTTACGACCCGCCAATGCATCGGGGAGCTATCCAAAACTGAACATATCCGTCGATAACACCGCCCTAAAGAGGAAAGGTCACATAATAGGTGGCATCTCATGCAGTAGGCTCTTCTTCATGGCACAGAGTTCAGTTTGTGTTGTTGCTGTTGCTGTTGTTGTTGCTGTTGCATAAACGACAACTGACAGTGTGGATTGATGGCAGCGGCGGTGCCGTGGTTATGGGGAGGTCCTCACCGATGCGGTTGAGCCGATCGATGGCCACCTGCTCGAAGGCGCGCCGCATCATGGGGTACTCCTCGAGCACCTCGTTGAAGTGGTCCACGGACAGCGAGAAGAGGCGGCAGTAGGTGTCGGAGCGCACGCTGGCCGTGCGGCGGCCCCGCGTCAGCAGGCAGATCTCTGCGGGAGGTGGGCGGGGGGTTGAGAGTGGGGGAGGGAGGGGGCGCTGGGTTAGAGAGGAGGAACCGGGGGATCTCAGCTGTCGAGGTTCTGCAGGTGATGCCCACCAGCACCTTGTACGCCACGTGTGGAATCGCTTAACACGGGCCGGGCGGTGGGGTTGGTGCATCGTGCCCTGTGTCTCGAGAGACACCTGCCTACGTGGGTAGCTCGGTGTCTGTTGCTGGTAGTACAGCAAGTAGGCCGCTGACGAATCTGTGCAGCAGTTAAGTACAATGTATGAGTGTTCACTCGGCACTTTGGATTCTTCCAACATGGGATCGGGATCGAACCCAGGACCTCCTGTATACCGGGCGAGGTGGTTAACATCTCGCCACCGTGGCCCGGCTGGTTCATAGCACAGTGATCTCACCACTGCGCCACCAAATCTCAAATAGTTAATCGGAATTCATATTTGTTTGCGTGTCATCATTATTCTAAGCAAAAATGTTTTATTTAAACCATGCAGTGTCCATCTTTGCTGCTCTGTCGTCTGCCAGAATTTTTTTGTATTTGTGTTGATATATAAATAAATAACGTCAGCGTCCTCCTCCATCCATCTCAATTGTCCTTGCTCATGCAGTGCTGAACACTCGCTCATGCATGACGTACTACATAGGAACCCTGTGCGTGTGTGTCCGTGCGTGTACGTGCAGTGCTGAACACTCGCTCATGCATGACGTACTACATAGGAACCCTGTGCGTGTGTGTGTCCGTGCGTGTACGTGCACGGACACACACCCGAGTTCCATTCCCGCTCGCGGACAATATCGTTGACGATTATTGTAGCCTCCTCTACGTAGACTCAACCTCAAATGAGTACCTGGTGTGGTGTGTAAAATCATTGCCACTGGAGAGACAAAGGCGGTCGGGCGTGTTTGCTGGCCACCCAGCCCCTCTCGTACCACCAGGCTTTATAGGGGCTGCTCGCTAACAGCACTTGCCCCAACAGTCTGTGAAGGCTACACGGGGGGATCTTTGTCTTTGTTAGTGTGCACACGCGTGCGTGCGTGCTTGCATTCGTTCGGCGGAGATGGAACAGATGAATGTTTTTCTTCTCTGGCATATGCGAGAAGGCAGTGCAACACGTTTGCATAAGTAATTATATATATAATTCTAAAAAAGATATATAAACGTAAACATGTAAGGTAAATATTCTGTCGCAATCGTTTTTTTCTCACGGAGAAGCGCATTTTAATAAAGAAAGCAAAGAGTTCCATAAATAGATTTGCTGTGTATTAAAATGTGGGAGAGGGGGGGGGGGGATAACCCACCCCCTACCACCAATCGCCCGCTTCACAATTCAATTATTTAAACTTGACATCTCCGTTGCTTGAACAATAAAGCATCTTTGCAGGCAGGATATCACGTCGAACACTCGCAGAATAAAGAACTGAGGGACTCCCTCCCCCGCCCTGATCCCCCCCCCCAAATAATCCTGAGCACTCGTGATTATGCAAAAAACAAACAAACAACAACAACAACAACAACAACAACAAACCTCTCCAACAGCTCGGGATACCCCGCCCCCCCTCCTCTTGCCATGCTCACCCCCTGTTGCTCACCCTGCCCCGTGCTTCCCTTTCCTTCCACCCGCTTGTACTTGTGTGTGCGTGTGCGGTTTTTTTTACGTTGATTAAAGAGATTCGCTTCATCGGCACACCGCAGTGCGGGGGCCCGCGCCAGAACCCTCTACGAGCGAGGAGGAAGATTACCACGCCGTGTGCCGCCACACGGCCCGCCGGTCTGTCGCCGTCGGTGACCGCGCGGGGCGCATCGTCGCCCGCGTCTAAACGAGACGCTCAGCCGTGCGTCGGCGTAACATTGCGTTAAAAGGGGGAAGGTGCGCGCGCGTGCGTGCGTCCGCGTGCGTGCGTCCGCGTGCGTGCGTCCGCGTGCGTGCGTCCGCGTGCGTGCGTCCGCGTGCGTGCGTCCGCGTGCGTGCGTCCGCGTGCGTGCGTCCGCGTGCGTGCGTCCGCGTGCGTGCGTCCGCGTGCGTGCGTCCGCGTGCGTGCGTCCGCGTGCGTGCGTCCGCGTGCGTGCGTCCGCGTGCGTGCGTCCGCGCGCGTGAGATTCAATTTGCGCTTAATAACGACGACAAATACAAAAAAAGGAGAATTTGCGCGGTTCGCGTTCGCCTCGCGTGAAGGATGTTGCCCTGCCAGACCAGGTGGCACAACGGTAGAGAGAGAGCGGCTCGCGGTCGCAAGGTTGAGAGTCCGAGTCTTGATTGGGGGTCGACGCAGACCGTCGTATGGGGAAGTCAACAGCGGTTGTCCCATGATAAACTCGTCTCCGCCATAGGAATGCGGAATTTCCACCGCTGAGTCAGGGCTGTAAATGGGAGATGGTCATCGATGCCTCAATGCTCATTTCGGCAGGACGTCGCTTTGACTTTGGGTTTTTTGGGATGTGACCTCATGGACTCATTTCTTTTTTTTGCCGGGGACCTTTTTTTGCCGGTATCAAAGTATGAAAAATAAGAATAGGTTTTAGGGGCCGTCCATAAATGACGTCACGCGATTTTTGACGATTTTTGACCCCCCCCCCTCGTCACACGGCGTCACAAAAAGTCAGACCCCCCCTCAAATATGACGTCACAAAGCTCTGCCCCCACCCCCCCCAAAACCATATTTCCATTTTGAAAAAAAAAGTGCTTCAAATCGCTTTAAACTATTGTCATTGTAGTGCGTATTTAATGTGGCGCTGCACTCTGATGTTGTAGGAGAAAACGTTTATTTAAAAGTCGATTTAATTAAGTAGAACGTGTTGTCTATATTTATTTAAAATTGCGCATTTTGATGTGACGTCACATTTCTCACCCCCTCCCCCCCTAGGTGCGTGACGTCATTTATGGACGGCCCCTTACCCTTTCTGGCAAGAAAACAGTAGGTGTCAAGATGTTCTCTGGTCTAACACTGGTGAGACGAGGCCACAAAGAAGGATATCTCTAGTATAGTCCAATCAGTTTCAAAGACAATGCCCATGACATATTATCAGAGTTTGTTTGCATGTTCATCACAAGTACGTGTACTTAATGCAGACCCTGATTCCCTGCAAAAGGTATCTGTTTGGTGTTTGAACATCTTAACACCTGTTTTATTGCCAAAAAGGGTAACACCTATTATTATTATTATTTTACGATCTTTTCTGTTGCTAGTGCTTTTTAATTTGGTGCCATTTCTTAATTAAAAAAAATATATTTTGCTTGGTAGTAGGCTTATCATTTGCTTGGTGCGTAGGTGTGTGTTGTTGGTGCGTAGCCAACCGCGTCTATGTGATTTGATCCTCATATATATCATTAATTCTGTTCGCATGAATGACGATGTATAGAATGAAAGTATAATTATTAATGTGAATGAGAGAGGAAACATCTGATTGAGCTTGGGGTGATGTTTAAAACCTTCCGAAAACCCGATTCCATGGGGCTATACAAACTTCTTCTGTCTTAGCCCAAACAATGGCAGGGAAGCAGCCGCCAAGCAGCACAACTTGCTTTTAGAAGTCCTGAGTTAAGTCCATTTTTTCTTTTTGTAAAAAAGGATAATTCTATTGAAGAGAGACTGGGAACAATACTCCGATGACACCAGAGAGAGAGAGAAAATCACCAAAGCCCCAGCTGGATCATACCTTTTTGTTTTTAAATTGCTGCAAAATGTAAGGGTTGGATTCTGTAGTTTAAAAGAGCAAAGAACTGGATAGGATTTTCTTGTGTGTTTGTGTGACCATGCTCTCACGTTGCATAAGGCATTCAATCAGATGATATGTCGCTGAGGAATAATGTTCTTTTCAGGACACGTGTGCGTGGGATGAGTGGTGCTGGAGTGATTAGTTCAGTAATTTACAGAATAAAATCATAGCGACCCAGGTTTTATTTCTGGCAATGCACACGCACGGCAAATGAATTGAGTCTGGCTTGGAACTCAACGAGGTCAAGGTAGCCTTAAAAAATTGTGCCTGCTGCAGTCGTGTGTGTGACCATCAGCACGAAGGGCTATCGGCCAACGCGCTGACCACTCCACCCCCCGATGTGCACGGTGACCTTACTATTTGCTCCATAACAGCACTTGCCCCAACAGTCTGTTAAGGCTACATGGGAGATATGTGTCTTTGTGTGTGCGTGCGCGGGGAGCGGGTGAGCCACTTGCGCATCTGCCTGTCACCTCGACCGGTTAACCCATGAACATCTGGGCCTGCCCCGTGGGCCTCTCGCCAGCCGGCAGCAAAGCCTTCGACAATTCAACGCGGGGTCACAAGGCGCACACGCGCCGTTGTTATGTCACCGTCACTGCAGCGGCGGGTGGCGGCTGTCGCCAGCGCGCCGCTGCAGATGCGTGGGCTGAGCAGAGACTCGAACCTCCAAAGTAGGAGCCGTCGGAGAGCTTCATCTCCTTGTTGCCTTTGGTGATGATGCTGACGACGCCGTGCTGGATGAAGTACATCTTCTTGCCCACCGTGCCCTCGCGCACGATGAAGTCCCCCGGCTGGAACACCTCGAACTGCAGCTTGATGAGCATGGCCGTCACGAAGTTGGGGTCCGCGTTGGCGAACAGCGGCATGGAGGCGACGAGCTTGCGGCAGTTGTAGCCCACGATCTCCTGATGGATGTGGGCGGCGAGGGGTGCGGGAGTCGGGGTGGAGGGGGGAGAGCCGGGGGTGAGTGACGCGAGTAATACATTGTGCTTTCTGTACGTGCTGGAGACCAACGCACTCCGTAAAGAGGGTTGCTCGTCATCGACGCACCGCCCGGAGGAAGGTTACGCTCGATTGTTATGCACAACGATGGCTGTGTAAAACGGATTCAGCCACGGGTTCAAAAGGCGTAATCGTCAAATGTTTCAGAGAAGACCTATGAAAGGAAACTACCGGCCTCAGAAGGGGATTACGCAGTTAAAATCCTTTACCAGTATCAGCTCCAGTAAAACCAGTGTCAAACTTGCCGAACTCCAGGAGGGATAGAGACATACCCGGCTTGCCTTGAGAACCATCTCACGAATGCCCTCCCTTACTAAATCACTGAGCAGCAACCAAGTCGCACGACCAACCACACCTCTAGAACCAGTATATTAGTTTTGATTTAAAGCTTTCGTGACTGCAGTAATTCATATTCTTAGCTCTTTCGGTAAAAGTCACGTTGAAGGGAAACAATAAAATAATAAAAAATATATAAAACAATACAAATTCTCACGACGTTTCGACCATAACACAAACGGTCGTCATCAGGTGTGTCGGTTTGCATTGTGAGTGACGCGAGGATGCATCTGGCTCAGAGCAGTAACTCGCACCTCGTGACGGGCCTCACCTGGGGAACGAGTCTGGGGCGGCTGAAGCTTGAACTCCAAATAAAAAAGAAGGCATGACTCCCGGCGCAAACAGCAAATGCTCACGTGTAAGTATGAAGTGCACGCCTTCCCAAATCACAGGGGGAAGTGTAATGTGTGACGAATGTGAAATGTGGCCATTGACAGATATTGACAAAAAAAGGTATGTATTTGGTCCCATAAACAGGCAAACATTTTGTAGATGATGCATCAAGTCTATCCATCACCCTGAATAATGCAAACGCGAAATTAGAGGCACTGTGCTCCATTCTGAAGCCTCTCCTTAACTGAATCAATCACCATCTCGCTTTATTTAAAACAATATTAACCACAAAATTCAAAACAGGCCGAGCTTAATGGTACATGAATATTTGATGTTACCCATAAGTCACCGTTACCCACACGTGTGTGTGTATGTGTGTGTGTGTGTAACGCTGTGTGGAAGCTACCTGGTCTGTCGCTCCGCACTAAGCTTCAGGTCTTCTCGGCCACGGTCATTCCCTCCCTTCTCTACGCTTGCGAAACGTGGACCCCCTTAATGGAGCATCTTCGCCGGTTGGAAACATTTAGGCTGGCCTGCTTACGATCCATCCTGGGTTTAACCAGGCTGGATTGTGTGAGGAGCTCACAAATCCTTGAGCGATCTGGGCAAGGTCCCATCGGTGAGCTCCTCAGGCAGGCAAGGCTGCGTTAGCTGGGTCATGTAGCCCGCATGCCCAGCCACCGCATGCCGAAACAGCTTTTGTTCGGCCGGATCGAGGGGGCTAAACGGGCGCCGCACGGGCTAGATAAGAGATGGAGTGATGTGGTACAGGAGGACGTGGAGCTGAGTGGACTTGACGATGACTGGTACCAGCGGTGTCAAGATCGGCCTCTGTGGAGGAGGCTCGTGAAGGACGCTATTGGGCAGTTGGAGGCAGTTGCCCTCCAACAACAACGGAGGGCGGAGGAGCGACGCTCACAACAACGAGCGGAGCGCCGGGTGGCTAAAGCACAGCAGGTTGGCACAGTGGGGGGCACAGGTGGTGCACCAGCCAGTCATCTCAGTCATCTCAGTCAGTCGACCCGTGGCACCTGGGTCTGCCCCGTGACCTCCTACCCGCGGGCGTTTGACACTTCACGTGGCCTCAAGGTGCACATGGCCTGGCACAAGCGTCGTGGTGACGTCACCGCCACTTAGTGGCGAATGGCGGTTGTTGTTGTGTGTATGTGTGTGTGTAAGCTCGCGAAAAGAGTGCCCATACAAATGTGCGTATATGGATGAAGAGGTCCTTGAGAGGGGTCATTTAGTATGCGAGAAACTTCAGCATGATCCAGGAGAACCCCCCTTGTCGACGGTGATTGGTTCCATGAAACCGGTCGTTGAATGATTTGGTCGTTAAGCGAGTATAGGAAATACACGTTAAGGGCTTCATTCGTTCCGATAGCATCGAAAGGTACCCTTTTTCACCAAAAAAAAACGTATTTTATAATACTGAAACAATGGATATGAATACCTAAAGATACTAACAACATTATAAACACATAACATTAAAAGAAACATGGTTAATCAATGCATTCATTAATATTCACTGCAACAGCCTGTCGATAACAGGGGGAATGGTCGGTAAGCTAACACATTGGGCTCTATGGAGGCACGACACTACTATACACTACTATATACTACACTACTATACACTATACACTACTATATACTACACTATACACTACTATACACTACACTATACACTACTATACACTACACTATACACTACACATTGGGCTCTATGGAGGCCCGTCGTTAAGAGATTAGTCGTGAACAGGGGTGGTCATTAAGAGGGGTTCTATTGTACACAATAACACACTACACTACACTATACACTACTATATACTACACTATACACTACACTATACACTACACTATACACTACACATTGGGTTCTATGGAGGCCCGTCGTTAAGAGATTAGTCGTGAACAGGGGTGGTCGTTAAGAGGGGTTCTATTGTACACAATAACACACTACACTATACACTACTATACACTACACTATACACTACACTATACACTACACTATACACTACACTATACACTACACTATACACTACACTATACACTACAACACTATACACTACATTATACACTACACTATACACTACACTATACACTACTATACACTACACTATACACTACTACACTACACTATACACTACACTATACACTACACTATACACTACACTATACACTACACACTGGGCTCTATGGAGGCCCGTCGTTAAGAGATTAGTCGTGAACAGGGGTGGTCGTTAAGAGGGGTTCTCCTGTAATTTTCCACTGCTTGCGATAAGGGGACATTGCACAACTTCTCGCGTTGCGGCGCTCAGGTGAACGGCCACGGTGTGTCTCGGTCTCCCGGAGAGCTTTCCGGAACAACCAAAGACACACTCTTCCTAGAGGCCTCCAGTGTTCACGTTCCCCCCGCCCCTGCCGTGGCGGTGAAAAATGGCCCGCAGGTTGTTTTCTTGCTTTCTCTCCCCACCCCGCGGAAAATGCGCGCCCCATCCGTGAAGCGGGATCTCCGGGATGAACCTAAGCGTCTCGACTTTGCGCCACCGTCCGATGGAAAGTCACTCCTTGGGATGACGGTTGCCACCCGTGACGGTTTAAAAAACTAAAAATTCGGAACGTGTCACTGGGATAGAAGAACGTGTCACGGATTTGCGGCAGGCAGTGGGGGGGTGGGAATCGGTGTGAATTGCCCTGTTTTGAGTGCAGTGACGTTATTACGCAACTGAGGAAGAGAAAAACACCGGGTACTTTTTTTTGTTTTAAATACGCAGGGGAAGACTTACAGATTTCCCACGGCAGACACCTCCGGTCTCGGGGCTCAGTGGTAGAGCTCCCAGCTCGCGATCGGAAAGTTGCGAGTCACAAATCCTGGCTGGGGCTAACTCAGCCAAATAATCTCTCTGGAGGTCAATAAAACGAATTGCCCACTTCTTTGGGGAAGTCAACATTGGTTGTCCTCTGAGGTGACTCAGCTCCATCACAGGAACGTGGAATTTCAAACACTGGCTGAAATTGCGAGATGAGCGTTGCCTCAATGCTCATTTGAGCGGGACATCGCTTCGACTGTCATTTGGCGACCTCGGCAGAGAATGGACCCTTGGAAAGCCAGGACAGTTGGCAACCCGATATGAGACGAATCTTTCACTAAAACCGATGGGCGGGAAAATAAAACATATTTTCACCGCAGCCGAAACACTTTCGGAAGTGTGGGCACCGTCGATAAAAAAAAAATTAATACAAAATCTGGCGTGAGCCCCTTCGCATGGCAAATTGCCCATAAGCGTGGTGTCTCAAAGCAGTGTACGTCACGAGGCCAAGTGGGAGTCCATTGTCGTGGCCTTTGTCGCCTACCTTCACGGCTCAGCTTCGCGCGAGGCGCGCAGATGTCGCAACGAAATAATTAAACCCCTGCCAGCTCAACTGCAACGTCTCACGCGAGCAGTGGGCAAGAGTCCAATGCGGGGGGGGGGGGTGGCAAAGAGGGTTCTTCTTAGTAAGTACTAGAAAATATGTCAAGCTGTGATATTCAGCAATGTGCTCGTTACACGCACGCAAGGCATTATTTTGCGTGCGTGGTGGATTCCCAAGGAAAGCGAATATCATGGAATAGAGAGAGAGAGAGGGAGAAAAAAAAGTACCAAAATCGGGTCCAACTGTGAATTTGTAGTGAAAGTGCCGCCGCTGAAGAAGACGACTGGAGCACGTCATGAGTCCTCGCCTTTGATTGTACAGATCCGGTCTCACGCAGAACGGGTGGAAGCCTTTAAGAAAGCTCAGAGATAAAGAGCTTTCTCGTGGTTTCATGTGTCGGGGGGGGGATAATATCAGGACATATTGTGATGTGGGATGCCACTCCTCGTGTCCGCTCATGAATATAAATATTGTCCCCTTTAGCTGTAAGTGTGGGCGGTAATACATATGGAGCCATTCATTAAGCGTTCGCGTTCCGCGATGCGGAGCAAGCTCATGGCTCCTTTTAAACCTTCGGGCCATTCCCCATCTCCGCAAAACGATATCTCGTCTGCAGCCGCTAATGACATCCTCGCCCAGCCAGCCTGAGTGTGAACGATTGCGTCGTGTTTCTTAATGTTTGTGCCAGCCGTGTCGATGCGGCTACCCGTAGCACCGGGGTCTGTCCCGTGACCTCCTGTCAGCGAGCCTTCGACACTCCACGTGTCCTCGAAGTGCACCTGTTCTGGCATAGGCGCCATGGTCACGTCGCCGACACTTAGTGGCGAATGGCAGGCAGGTATTGTTATTGGTCTGGTTACCGAGTGTGCAGGCGTCTGCACACTGCACTCGGGGTCGCCGGGACTGGGAGGGACCTGTGCGCCAGGCGCCGAGGATGGGTGGTAATTCAGACGAGAGGGCCTTCGTTTTATTCGTGGCACCTGGGGCCCATACCTACCAAATTAGCAGTTTCCTGTCCACCGACAATCTACTACATCTAAAACAATCTGGGTTCCGAAAAAAATACAGCACCGCATCTGCTGCATTAGACTCTCTGAATCACATTTACAGTAGTCTTGATAATAAGCAGTACTGTGCCTGTCTTTTTCTAGACTTGTCCAAAGCTTTTGATACAGTAGACCACAACACCCTGCTTAGTAAGCTAAGTTGCCTCGGTTTTTCCGAAAACGCAGTAAAATGGTTTTCAAAATTAGCTCTTTTCTCGCACCCAAACTGTATTCACAGATGGTTGGAGGTCAAATAGTGTTAAGATAACAAAAGGGGTTCCACAGGGTTCCATCCTCGGCCCCCTTTTGTTCTCTCTTTATGTCAATGACTTGGGCACTGACCTGGATCATTCCAGGGTAAATCTTTTTGCACATGACACGATACTGATTACTGCTGGCCGCTCTGCGGATGACGTGATTGCTAAGCTACAGGGTGATTTCAACAAACTACAACATCAGCTAGTTGCTCTTAAACTAGTCCTGAATACCTCCAAAACCAAGGTGCTATGCTTCTCACCAGGACTAAAACAGGAAGTTATTTTTCCCCACTTACATTCCTTAAATAATTGTCAAATAGAGCAAGTCAAGATCTATAAGTATCTTGGGGTCATCCTGGATTCTAAGCTGAATTTTGAAGATCACATTGATTATATTGGTAAAAAGACAAAAAAAAAATTGGTTTTCTGTATCGACACAAGCACTGCTTCCCCCAAATGTTCCATTTGGAATTGATAAAAGCTACCATACTGCCTCTACTTGACTACTGTGACATCGTGTATAAATCAGCCCCAAGTACTGTACTGAAGAAGCTTGATTCCATCTATCACTCGGCCTTAAGATTTACATTGAACTGCCCATATAGGACTCACCACTGTGATCTCTACATTGGGTCAAACTTAACAGCTCTTAATGTTCGACGGCTTGTGCACCAGATCTTATTTATTCACGATGTACTTACAAAAAATTCCGCAGACTACCTGCTGGATCTCCTCTTTGTTTCAAAGAACAAATTTGACCTCAGGTCTTCGCTCATTTACCAGCTTCACATTCCCTATTGCCGTACAAAAACTGGAGGAAGGGCCTTTGCTATTGATGCCCCCAGAGTCTGGAATGATAATGCCAATAAACTGCAACTTGAATCGCTACCAATGACATCTTCTCTCAAAACTGCTCTAGAGGAGTTGTACACCCCTACTGCCACTGCTATTCATTGGCGTAAAATAAAATAAAATGTTTCGCTTCGGATGACGCTGTATTATCTGTATTTTGATTTAGCGTGCTGATCTTAAAGGTGCATTGAAAAATTTGATACTCCGACCAATGCTTCTGTTGTTGTGGAGTAACTCATGCAGCCAGCTATGGCTGTAGGATTTGGTGTTACATGTTATTTATGTAGTTTATTGTAAAAATTCGGTCACCGTCCTTGTGATCACTCTTACCTTGCAATTATGGCTTTATTTTTTGATGATTTGGAAAAGTTTTTTGGTTTGGACATGTTTGTTTTGTTGTAGTACGGAGTTAGACTGATGGCCTTAATCTAAGTTTTTGTGGTTGTTGTTGTTGTTGTTTGACTTGCATCCCACTGGGATTTTTTGCACACAGCGTTGCTGTACGGTGTTTTTTTTCAGGAATGTTTTTTTCCATGGATTTTCTGTTTGCACAGTCACCTAGTCACTTTAAGATGTTCTTCTTGTCCGTGTTTTTGTTTTGTTTGTTTGTTGTGGTTGCACCCGATTCAAGAGCCGAATGGCTCACAGGGCCATACCAAAATAAACTGAAACTGAAACGACGCGACGCCACTGAGTGCGCTTCAGAAATTCCTGCGCTCTGCCCGCAGCGTTGATGGGTTCGTGCAAAGACCACCGTGTGGTGAGCACGAGATGCTAAACTGCAGGCGTTAACCCACTGGTCCGTGGAAGGCAGTACAACGAGCAGGCTACCAGCTCAAGGACTGTTAATGTCAGTGGCGTAGCGTGGTTGATGTGGGCCCTCGTGTAACGAATTGAACGGAGCCCCCCACTTCCAATTTCCCACCTCTTCATAGCCCCGGAAGTTCGTCTTCTCTGTCCCATACGACCCGGTACAGTTGCACCGCCTGCACACGTAATCAATCGCTATTAATTACGTCGTTGCAACCCAGGTCTATTTTTTTTTCAAAGGAGACGTTTCATCTCAATAGAATCTCACAATGTTTCAAATCAAGCACTGACGACGATGATGGCGATGACGAACTCTGCTCATTGCGTATTTGAGCATGGAAACACGTGTTATTGTTGATGTTCTCTTGACCAGACTGCTTCTTTTAAATAGTCAGTAGATCATTATTAGAGGTGTAACATTGCATAGAATCATTGATTAATATTGATTCTTAAGCTCACGATGCATCCATCAAACTGCATGTGTAAGAATCAATGTTTTCTATTTGTGTCTTTAGTACGAAGTAGCTTTGCGTGACCTCTGCAGCCACTAGAGGCTGCAACATTGAACCACATGGCCCTCGACAGTATACGTTGTTGTCGTGATTTCAAAGCTCCTTGTTATCGTATTTGTGCTTTCGGTATCATGTCACAAGATGATGCATTCATTGGGATATCTGGCACAGCAATGCAATCGTTTTAGAGAATGGCCCACTGAAGCGGATATCACAGAGCTACCGCTGATGTCCTTTCATTTACCCTCTAGTCCACACAGTACAAAGTAGTACATTACCACTCACTCTGTATATGTGAGTGATGTTAGTCTCAAGACAATACGACCACAATAAACATTTGCAGAGCTGGAATTTAGCCAAACTTAAGTGCAAACCGAATAAAATCATTCTTGATTTTAAGCTTTCGTGACTGCAGGAATCCATACTCTTTGGTTCTTTCCGTAAAGTCACGTAGGTAGAAAAATAAAATAAAACAAAAAATAAAAAATCACGACGTTTCGATCGCAACACCAGCGGTCATCCTCAGGCGGGAAAAATAATAATAATCCAGTAGTGGAACTGCTGAACCGCTTGTGTTGAAACGTCGTGAAATATAATTTATATTTGATTTTATTTTTCTACCTACGTGACTTTACCGAAATAACTAAAAGAGTACGAAGAAAATCATGTTTTTTTCTTTGTGTCGCAATAGGTGACCGGGTTGAAACCATCAACCCAATCACACACACGGGACGCTGCCTGGATTCGAACCCAGGGTCTCAGCGGTATCAGTTCCGCGCTCTGACCTCTGAGCCACTCTGCCGGCTAACATTCACCACGGCGAATCACTCTTGGATCGTAGCACAGGCATGGACTCGCGCCAATTCATTGCACCTCCAAGGTGTACGAATCATCAACGCACCGTGAATATTCTTAGCTCTTTCGGTAAAGTCACGTTGAAGTGAAACAATAAAATAATAAAATATATATAAAACAATAAAAATTCTCACGACGTTTCGACCATAAGACAAACGGTCATCATCAGGTGTGAAAAAAAACCGTCGTGCAAGGCCCTCGTTTCCCTTGGCCGAGCGTGGCGCTCTCCCCGCGTCTCCCAACCGCAATCCCTCTCTCCGTAAAGGACATGAAATAGGAAGAGAGGAGGTAGTGGGGGGTGAGGGGCGAGTTGGGAGGGGGGCGCAGCAGTCGCACCTCTCGCAGCGGCTCGTTGAGCTCCCCCAGGATGTTGTCCTCGTCGAACATCTTGCCCTGGTAGCGGTTCTCGTAGTACTCGTGGATCCGCTGGCGCAGCTCCGCCGGCAGCTTGTGGAACGACATGTACTGCTCCACTTGCTTGTACTGCACGCCCGGACGCGAGCAACGCGGCACGCACGGTGACCTCTCACGTCATTGTCGAGCCCTCGCATCGTCGTCGTCGAGTTGCCGTTGGCATCTTTCTCTCTGTCTCTCTCACTGTGTGTGTGTGGTGCTGCCGGTCGTTCGCACAGACACAGGTGACGCGGCGTGTGTGCGTGGACCGGGTTGGTGGCGGGGAAGGCTGACACGGATAGCCACCATGTGCGGAGCGGAATTGAATTCGTGAAGCAGGCGTGGGTGTTGGAGCAGAGAGGCCCGCAGGTCTTGGACAAATAGCCAAATGATTCTCAAATAATAACACCACTGGATGAAGGCTCCCCCATGCTGTGGTGGTGGCGGTTGCTTCACCGCCACGCAGGTGTTCTGGGTTCGCAGGCGCAGCGTGCTCATCACTCCGCGGCCGCACCACCTCAATAACACACGATGACGAAAAATAATTCGGATATTGTAAAACACATTCAATAATATTGTGCCACAGAGGTCATGTACGTGTGTGGGGAACGTATCGGTTGAAAGTGAGGGGGAAGTGGTGGGGGGGGGGGGGGGCTTATCAGGAATGGTAAGAGGTTTGATGGTTTTGTAGATCGGGAAATTATTTGGAGGATAATTTGTGATGATGTATTATGCTTGTTATTCCCAGGTGAGCCTCATGGAGTCTTAAGACTCCGTTTGAGGAGGGTCCTGCTAAGTTGTCTCAGCAGGCGGGAGGTGTGATGTTGCTTCTCTCTGTAATTCCTGGTGAGTGATTTTTAGGTGAAATTTTTTTCTGCATTGTCATGTGGCCAATACCCATGAGATTTTATGTTTTTTCTCTTCTAACTGTGGGACGAAGCTGGCGAAGGCACGGAACAAACCCGTGCAGAACTGCGGAGGAAACATGCAAGCTCCACGCAGAAAGGCACCCGAGGTTGGAATCGAACTCTGGAGCTTTTTTTGCTGTGAGGCACAAGTGGTTGCCCTCGTAATAATAATAATAATAAGACGATTTATATGTGATTTATAATATGAATTTTGGAATATACAGCTGAATAAAATATGCAATGAGGAGCTTGAAAAAAACGTGAACTTTACAAAATAATGTACATTTGCTCGAATATTCTGTAAAGTGGGCGAACAGGTATCAGGTGTCAGAATGTAAAAGCAAAAGAAACTTAACGTTTACACAGTTTACATAATCTATTTTGGTACCAAAATCCAAAAACTGCAAATTTGCACCGTTGCGCGGTAATTATAAATAAAAAAGGTATATGAAATGCACGCATAATAAATGATGCTTGACCTCGTGATCTCATAACAGTTTTTTTTTTAATTATCGACAACGCTTCAAACCCGCGTAGGGGTCAACTATGCGCTGGGTCAATGTGGCTGGTGCTGTTTGTTTCCACTCGCACGACGGACGGCGGGCCCAGCAAAGGAACATTGTCCCCGGGACGGGGTGGCGGGTTACGCTGCCGTTGCTTGCTAACGCGACTGTTGGTGCTGGGTTTAGTAATATATGTTATGTATGTCGCTATTGCTAACTTTCAATCACATTTCTTATGATCACTGTTACATTGTTTTTTTATGGCATTATTTTAGGAATTTCTAGAAAGGTTTAGTTTAAATTTTTATTGGAAGTTTTCGTGACTGCAGTGATTCATATTCTTGGTTCTTTCGGTAAAGTCACGTTGAAGGGAAACGAAACGTCGTGAGAATTGTATTGTTATATATATTTTATTATTTTATTGTTTCCCTTCAAAATGACTTTACCGAAACAACCAAGAATAGGTTTAGTTTAGCCCGATTTTTTTATGTAGTATAGAGTTAGACTTAAAATTTTAATCTAAATTGTAATATGATTGTTATTGTGATCTAACATTAAAATGGGATTTTTTTGCACAGTTTAATATGCAGCATAAACAAATGGTGCTTTTTCTGGAAGGTTTTATTGTTTTTGTAGGGGATGTTTGAATGTGTGTACAGTAAATTCTAAATGTATCTTGTAATTTAATTGTTTGTTGTGGTTGCACCCGAATCAAGAGCCGAATGGCTCACAGGGTTATTCCAAATAAATGAAACTGAAACTGAAGGACCTCCAGTGGAGGAGGAAGCTCTTGAGAGAGTCCCCCCGTGAAAGGTTATTTTTGCCGACTGTTCCACGCTAACCCAGATGTCTCCGAATCGGCATTCGCCTGCTATAAATTTCCACACGATGGGCCACTTCGTTGAGCGATGATTTGTGGCCAGGTCGCGTCTTATAAAGAGCTATATAGCTCAGCGGGGCCTTACGCCGTAAAAAAATAGCGAGGAAAGAAGATGAAGAAGAAGGTGGGAATAACCCACGCTTTACACCACCGTAGGCAACCAACCGATTGAGTAACTGTGGTGTAACCATTTATACTGCCGGGTTGAGAGAGGCTCGGTGTGGGAGGGGGCTGGGGGGGGGGGATATAATAAGCTTGCACCGTCGTTTCAACTACCGCGCCGGGAGATAAATTCGAGCCGGTCACCTCTGGATTGTGAACCCAGTGTGCTTAACAATGTACCGCAGCATCGTGTCAAGAAACACGAGTCCCCGTTGATAGCCCACTTTACCCATTAAGACACTTCCCCCGTCTTCCTATCAATGGGACAAAAGTGCCTTTCGTTGAGTGGCGTATTCGATACATTGATTACAAAATTAATATACTCTTTGGTTCTATTGGGTAAAGTCACGTAGGTAAAAAATAAAATAACAAAAATCACGACGTTTCGGCCACAACACAAGTGGCCTTCATCAGGTGAAGGGACGAGACTGTTTGGAGGACAGCGCTGGAGTGAAAAAAGCCACGCTCAAATCACGACCTTTAAGCTGTGTGAGAAGAAACAAAGCGCCTTGACAAAGGAATTAGCATAGAATTTAGCATTGAAATGGCTGAGTGATTAACTTTGAAAAAAATAAAGTCTATCTTCCACAGAGATGGGTCAATAATTCACCCTTCCACATTAGCTGATGGTTGATGCGCAAACGCAAGCGTGCAGCCGATTGAAAACGTTGGATGCCACGTCCCCCTTCCAAAAATGCACTTAGCAAAAATATGAATGGTAGCGTGACGCATCGCAGAGAATGTCGTCGTCGCCCCCTCGCGCCCTTTCCCAAACGTCACGTGTCGTCGCGGGTCGAGTCGTGTTCTCGCGCGCGCAGAGCCAATGCCTCCTCCGATCGTAGCGGGAGGATTATTCCGCCCCCCACCCCCTCAACTCGCCGCCACCCCCCCCCCCATAAGCGCGGGCCTGCCATTATGTGGAGCCAGCTAATTAGTTCACGGTTCAAGGAGGACTGAACTTGAACAAGTCACAACCCCATTAAGGGGAAATTACACCCAGAGTTTGGCACGGCCGGGAAGGAGTTGGCAATCCGGCCTCCTCTTTTCCCCCATCACTCCTTCAACAGGAGACGTTAACTACCTCGCCTGGTTACACATAGAGGTCGTGGGTTCGATCCCTACCCTGACGCCTGCTGCTGTATATTTGGAGTTTGAGTGTCTCTCTCTCTCTCTCTCCGTGATCGCGTGGATTTTTCTCCGGGTCCACTGGTTTTTTTCCCTCCACATTTAAAATCAACGTGCGATTAGTGTAATTTGGCTGCTACAAATTTACACGCGATAAGCCACTTCGTTGAGCTGTCATTTGTGATTGCCAGGTCGCTTCTGAAAAAGAGAGCTATATAGCTCAGTGCGCCTTATCTGGTAAATAAAAACATTTGTTAAAATGTTGATTTAACAGAGAAGAGGGAGTGGATGGATGTAAAAAGAGCGTGGATTATTTATAACGATAAGGACGGCGACCGTCGGGACTGCTGCTATTTTTGCCGGCGCGGGCACGTTGCGCCGATCAGGCCGGCCCGCGGACGGTGTAGATGTGTCTGTCGTGCCAGCTTATTGAACTGTCGCGCCCGATGCATTATTTAGCACGGCACATAGAGTCAGCTTTCTCAAGTAACCCAAGGTCATGGTAGAGCTGGAAGGACTTTGCGCGTGGTGGCACGCAAACAACGAAAATGAAAGAACTTTGTTCGGGTCATAGCAGAGGCTTTTTGTACTTGGGGTTGGAGGGTTGGCGGACAAAAAAACAACCCACACTTCAACAGGAAACGTTTTGCATTTGTGGCATGTCTGCTGATGTCAGACTACTTTTTTAAAGATGAAAAATTATAGATCCATTGCGGTCTCTCGCGCCGCACCAACAGGAGAGAGGTGTTTGGTCCGAGGCATCGCCACGCACGCGCCACCCAAAGCACGGCCGAGAGGTGGGTTTGATCTCGTGATTACTGCGTGGAAGCTGTGTGGTCAATAATAGAATCATGCAAATAAATGCAGGGGTAAGATTACATATATAGTATATTCCTTGGAGCATGTGACGTTTATCTGCACGTGGCTTTAATACACAAAGTGGGAAAGATCCCTGTGAAGATTGTAAATAATGATAATTGATGATGATGATAATAATACAGGAGGAAGTTATTATTACCTCCAACGCTCCACTTTTGGAGCACGCGTCTGTGAAATGTTTGATGGCGAGGTTTTGCTCGCCGTGTTATTTTTAGACGTTTGAATTGCCCCTTCTTCTTCGTTCGCTATCACCGTAAATATTTAAACGCTAATTTTTTTTTTTGGGGGGGGGTTGCGGTACTTTTAAGCCGCAGCGAGACAATTCATTATGCACGTCGAAGGATGACGCCGCTCGCGAGGGTGTGAATCACCCGTCGGCGTTCCGTAGCCCGCCACTATACGGTTGCATTTGCTCGCAGCCGCACACACGCACGCACGCAAGCCATTACTGCCGTGTTATGTCATCGATCGCTTTTAAATGTATCTCCGTGCGGTTTTTTTCCTTCCCCCCACCCACCCACCTCTCGCATTTGACGCAACAACAAAAAAGAGCTCTTAAATAATCGCAGCCTTCAGTTTCATCTCAATTTCTGCGCAAATGATGACAACAATCGGGTCCCATTGCTGATACTGCAGCTGCAATGGTGCGCGGGGTTTAATGGCGGGTAATTGAGAGACAGCACAAAGCTCGCCCACTTGCTATGGCATCACGCATGGAAGGGCACGTTCTTTTGTCAACACTCTGCTGGTCAACGGGTTACTGCTTTCCTGATGATTTCCACCATGGTGTAATGGTTATCAGCGATCTCAGAGGTGGCCGGTTTGATCTCCTGGCTGGGGCAGTTGCAACGACAGGGCACATTTCTTAAACAGGTCCCTGCAGGGTGGGCTGGTAGGACAAGTCTCTGCGCTGTCTATTGCTGATTTTACACCCAACAGCACGAGAATTCACTTCGTTAAAGTATTGAAAGGGGACGGACGGACGGACGCATTAATCTATTGCAGGCTGGTACACTCAGTTTACAACTTCGTTCCTACCAGTAATACTCCTTCAACACCACCTGTTTTCACGCAGCAGTTTAAATGGGTAGGCTGCAGTGAGTCGACCGGCAGGTCGGGTGTGGTGATTTAAAGTGTGGGCACTTTTCCAAGATGTCTGGCCATCTTGAACGAGTAAACCAAACATCCTCCAGGAGAGGGGCCCTCTGGTGGAGGCGCTTTCCGCCCGCAGTGGCACGAACGAGCAATTGCAGGGCTGCGCCTATAGCCCTCCTTTTTTGTGCTTGAATAACGGGCGACAACTTTGCTTAATAAAGTGCCTTCGCGATCACCTTGCCTCGAGAAGAGCAGCCAAAAGCAAAGAGTTGAGCGTTTTGTTCGAGTAGACCAAGCGATGGAGCAGACCGGCAGATGGGCAGCTGCCGGCTTTCACTAAAATTGCTGAAACTGCCCCCCCCCCCTCGAAACCTATTCCTGGAAACCCCTCGGTTGGCACAGCCACTTAAACAGAGAGACGTTGTCACTCCGCTCACCCGCTCCTCTCCCCCACCGCCCCCGGCCGGTACGAAGGGTCACGAGGACACGAACGCGCGCACGCGTTACTGCGGAATGCCCCACGCTGACGGACGGGGTGAGCAATCAGAGGAAGGCGCAGTCACGCGAGGCAGGCGGAGGAGTGGACAGGCAGGGGTCGGGAAGGGGTGTGGAGGATTCCGGTGGCGGAGGTGTTCGGGCGGGGAGGGGGCGCAGGGAGAAGGAAAATCAACGCTTGTAAAGACACGATTTTTTGGACTTGAATAGCGCCGAAGCCTAAATGCGAACTCGCATCTTCAAGTCGCTGTAGAGAAACAGCGGGTTATTTATGTTATATATAGAGAGAGGCACACAGTCGTCCGTGCTCTCGACTCCCTGCCCGAGTTCAAGTCCGGGCCTTATTTGCGATTGTTTTGAGTGCTGAGAAGATGTGGGATTTTGGATCACACCAGCCGTACCGTGCCTGTGCAACATCCATCAGCAGAGGAATGGGGTATCAGTGTGGGAGGAGACTGGAGAGTACCCAGAGAAAATCTGTACTCTGGGAAGGCGTAACTCGTCGTTCACGACAGATAAGTCAGCGACCGATTTGCCATTCTGTCATAAAAGAGGTCAAGGTGCAGCCCTGCAATTACTTGCTCACGCCACTGCTGGCGGAAGAGCTTCCACTCGAAGTAGCTCTCGAGAGCCTCTTCTGTGCATATGAGCCTACGCCTTCCGCGCCGGACAGGCTTCTCTGAAGGGATGGGGGTACCCACACTTTACCCCACCACACGTGACCCGACGGCGTACCCATTCGTACTGCTGGGTGGACAGAGGTAGGGGGTAGGACATCGAATCGAACCGGCGACCCGCACCGGGCCGGACTGTAGGTGTGGCGCGCTGACCATCACCGCCCAGCGGCGTCCGGCACTAAACAGCGGGCGAGCATCGCCAGCGGATTTGGTGGAGAATTCCGTGCGATGTGTGGGGGGGTATGGGGTTCTCACCTTCTCCTGGTACTGGCGGCGCGACGAGTCGAGCGACTGGATGAGCGCCGTGGCGTGCCCGATGAACATGGCGTAGCACGTGGCGCCCACGATCATGCTGAGCATGGTGAGCCACAGGTCGGCCATGCTGACGGGCGCGCGCTGGCCGTAGCCGATGCACAGCATGTGGCTCATGGCCTTGAAGAGGGCGTACGAGTACTGCTTCCCCCACGAGTCGTTCTGGCACACAGGGGTAATCGCAAAAAACGAAAAGGAAAATGTGTTGGTTGATATATATATATGTGTGTATGTACAATAATGGTTGCTGAGCACAGGCTGAAAGGCCCATAATGTAAGCAAATGTTTAAGTTCTTTCGCACCGTATGTAGCCAATCGTGCTAATGTCATGCGGCGAGAAATAAACTGCGACATTGAATGAAGGCGTAACGCACGATGAGAGGTGATACGTTTCTTGAATTGGGCAAGTTGGGAGGAGGAGGAGGAGAGACGATCATTGGGAATTCCAGAGTCGAGCATTGGCGAGGGAAGATGCTGGACGGGACGTGGTGTGGCCTGCGGTGTGGTGGCTGAACGCCGTTGTGGAAGAGTCAAACCGGGTCAGACTCTGGCTCACGACAGAGGCTCAAATGTTCTCAATGGATATTTTTCGGGGTCACTCGAAGTACGTGGCTTTGTAGCCACACCGTGGCGAGAGTTGCATCGGATTTGGTGAGGCCGGGTGAAGACGTATTTTCTGCGTCGGTGATCCGGACAGAGCCAACTGAAATTAAGCGCCGGTTCACGATGTCCAATTGAACTTTGCACGTGGATTTACCGTTTCTATTTTGAGAAAACGAACCCTTTTAATCTTTTTGTATGTTCCATTCAATCCCAGTAAATTACTTTGTTTAAGCAGGTGGAAGACAAATGAAATGTGTTTATCTGCGTTCCAGGCTGTATATCTCTTGTCATTGAATTGACTATGGATATGCATTTATTCAGTACTCTACAATAACCACACACCCACCCCCCCATAAATTAATGTAACAAAAACCCAACATTATGAGATAGCATTTGAAATTGTGCACAAGATAGCTACAAAAAGTAGTACCTCATTTGCAAAAGAGAAACTGGGTGTTGAGAAGTAAGACACTGCACAGCAAAACTCTTATTGCTGTAATTTAGTCGCAGAAAATTTTCAAATTTGGGATTTGGACCGTGACATCAGAACACGCTGTTACGGCTCCTGATAATAACATGACACTTAAGAGTCCTGGGCCCATGGGCAGGTCCCTAGAGCACATCCTGGTTGCAGTGAAATCAGCAGAAGAATCAGCGCCGGCGTTTGAGATTTTCAGGAGACAATGCACAGATGTACGGCCGATAGCGTGACGAGATTGATAACACTGGCACTGATTCACCACAGCGGGTAGAGAGAGAAGATACATAGGACACTCCCCCCAAAAATGTGATCTGTCCCGAGTGGCCAAAAAAAAAACCCTTCACACCAGACGCAGATAATGGCTGCAGCCACTATCTGGCTGCAGTTTAGCGTTGAGACGGGTCGTTGGAAAAATGGGCCCCTCTTTTCGTCTGGAATGCAAAGCAAGGCCCCGTTGTGTGTTGCTGCCAGGGCAGCCGTGACCAACGGTGCAGAGTGTTGAGGCAGTGCAATGACACCAGGGTCCACGGTGCCAGAGGGTGCCCAGGTGCCAGGATATGAAAAGGGGGTGGTAGTGGTGGTGGGGTGGGGAAGGAAGGGGGTGGTAATTGGACATGGGAATTCCATCTCATTCGCTGCACCAGGACCTATGCCAATCATGTTTTGTCACTGCACATCACGGGTGCAGGTGCCTTGTCACGGTTGCTGAGGATAGGACAAGAGCAATTTGCCAAGTGACCAGCAACAAACAGCACTGTTGAAGGTGTGACGAATGGCAGCTAACATATTTCTCGAATTGAGCAAAGGTTACATAATATCTTGGGAAGGGAGACCACGGGGAGGGAATTGCAAGGTCGAGCAATGGAAACAAACGAAAAGAGGAAGTGTTTGATTTATTTTACCTGCAGCTTAGTGGATGAACACAGTGTGGATAGACCGAGTCCTCAACATGGGTAGAGGAATGAATGAGCGAAGCATGGGAGGAGTGACCGCGACAATAGCGATAGAAGAGCGACGAGGAGTGGATTGACTGGCTGCAGGTGATTCGCGAGTGATTGTAGCGAATCAAGGGGGTGCTGGATCATCATCTGTGAGTGTGTGTACGGGGAGTGGTAGTGTAGCAGAGTTAGCGCGCTGCGCTACAAACCCGGTGACTCGAGTTCGATTTCCGCTCACGGCCAACACCGGTGACGATTATTTGAACCGGTCTTGGGCATCCCCTAGGTCGACTCAGCCTCAAATGAGTACTTGGTGTGGTGTGTAAATATTGCCCTCGTGTGCCGTTCCGGCCTTAATAGGTGCTCGCTAACAGCACTTTTCCAAAGGGTCTATGAGGACGAAGTGGTTGTCTTTTGTGTGATCATGCGTGCGTATGTATGTATGCACGTATGATGAACTTATTTCGCACCGTACGTAGCCAACCGTGCTGATCAGAGGTGCCGGGGGAAAGCGAATCTGAGGTGCGTGCGTGACGCGGCGAGGCCCACCACCATGCCGTTAAGGGAGATCCAGCAGTCGTGGGGGAATTCCTGCAGCATGGGCACCAGGAACTGGAGGCAGCCGTCCCAGTGACACAGGAGCAGCATCATGGCGATGAGGTTAACAATCCGCACCACCGCGCTCGCCAGGTCGTACGTCATGTGAAAAATCTGGCGGAGAAGGTGAGGGACACGGAGGGGCGTAGTTCGGCGCTGCGACCTTGCCCCCGCGGTGTTTGGAACGTGGACAAAGCCGCATGCTCGCCATGACGTTGCTCTCCTCGGGGGGGGGGGGGGGGGGGGGGGGTGTGCGTGGCGTGCGTGCGTGTCCGTCTCTGTGCCTGGCCCGCGTCGATGTATCGTGTTTTTCTTGATGGCAAGAGTACAGCTGAGTTGAAATAATTTGCAGCAACTTAATAAAATATGTTGTCTTCCCCCCCCCCCCCCCCCCACTCCCCCTTCATTGTGCTGTCGCCGTCACGTCACGAAAACCCTTTCGTGTTTAAGAACGGTCTGCTGGATGTGGATATCATGGAGCTACTTCAGACGTGCCTTTAAGTGACCACTGTTTTCACACAGCAGGGGGCTGCACTTTCTCACTGGCTCTGCCATATGACGAGAGTAATGTTCGGCGCTTGACAGTCATGTCAGTCTTTTTAAATTCTGACCCTGGAATTTAGCGAAATCAAAGTGCAGAATCAAATTGAATGCGACGGTTGCTTTGTGCAGTCACTGGGCTGAACCACGAACTCACTCCTTGTGAGAACCCAGGCTTGTTCACAGACAGCGGAAACCGGCATTAAAATTCATAATCTCAGCAGTGTCAGCTCTGAGCTCTGACCTCTGAGCCACCCGGGCACCTGATTCTCGTTGTTCTTTTTTATTTATTTATTTTAAGGTCAATTGTTTCGGCCAATTGTTCGCCTCATGGGATTATTTGTTTGCAATGCAGTTATTCCATGTGTCCTCACATCTAAGTTGATACGCCTATCAACTTGTAATTTTGCTCGCGTTCAATGCCGCTCACCGGGACGTTTCTTTTCGGGAGGCGTGCATGATCACGGCATACCAATCACAAGATGCCTTCACTGGAAGAGGACAGTGCCCGCCGAATATTTGCCGCTACAGTTAGCGGGCACGCACAACCCGCTATGTGCAGGTGAACAAATAATCACCACTGTTAAAGCGCGAACACATACCGCTGCTGTAATTGGAACCGTGTGGAAATGATGGTAATTTATGAATGCACCTGTGCATAACAGCATGTCTGAATGAAAAAAAAGACAAATTTGGGGCAGGACAACATGAGAGCTTTGGTAAGAAAACGAAAGGTTAAATATATGTAAAAATCTCATCCGAGTTCTTTCAATAAATAAAAAATCGTCTATGCTCCCATGTAGAGATTTGCCAGATCAAAATTAAATGGTTTGGCTAAATATTCGTGAGTTTTTTCTTTTCCCCGTTGCTAAATGTTCGTCTTTATTTACTTCCAACGCAGTGTGTTGCCAAACATTCCGGTCAGTGCCAATTGGACACACGAAGTAACATTGCATGATGCCAAACTCGCACTTTATTTTTCCCTTCATGTTAAAATGTATATCAGACCAGGCAGCTCAGTGGTCGTGAGAAGCTCTCAAGTGAAACGTTGTGAGTTCAATTCCCGTTTGGGGGGGATGACTCAGCTTATCATCTCTCCTGGGAAGACAACAGTGGTTGTCCTACGGATAGACTTTCCCACGCCACGAGAATATAGAATTTCCACCACTGGCTCAGGGATTCAAACAGGATATGAGCAACAATACCTCTCAATGCTCATTCGAGAACAGGACATCACATTTGACTATGATTGATTGTCTTTGTTAGATTGAAAAAAATGCTACCGTGTTGGGTTTTCAGTTTGCTTTATTAACGAAGGAAACATGCCGCAAACACATGCTGTTGAAATGCCATGCTCTTTGGGTTGCAGGTGACGTTTCAGTAACCCCGAAACAACAAAGGGAATACTGTGTGCATGCTTTACGCGTGCCTATGCGGGAGTGGCAGATGAGCCCTACCATGCATTTTGAATGTTAACTCGGAGTCCCAGTGAATGGGAATTGCCTATTTCCAGGTAACCAGTTGAAACGTCATCAAATGTAAGGATTTTGTTTTATTTATTGCTTACCACGTTTTAGATTACGTTTAATCTTGCAACACAACGGCAAATACCTCTCATCAGGCTTGGAAGCTATTTACGCTGGAATATAATTACCAAAAGCCCATTAACAGTGACACACCCACAATTACCCTTAAGGGGAACTGGTAACTGAATGCCATTAATTACTTTTGGAATATGTAATTATAATTATTAAAAAACTAAATGTTACGAATTGTGGACAGGCAACCAAAATGCTGCGTTCTTTTATTAAAAGTAGGATAGATACAAGCTCGTCTGAAGCTTTTTTACAGTTAAAATGTACACGTTTAATGAATGCACATTATAATGCAATGAATATTTTCCAGCAAGGTACTTTATATATGTTTTAGGTAATTTCACGGGATAAGATGCTCTTCAAAGGTATCTCACAATCGATTACATGTGTTTTATCCGTGCCTGCTGAAATCAGAATGCTGTGGCATAAAACCCTGTGTACATTACCTTCGTTAAATTAATTGAAAATATATTTTAATGGAAAATAATAAAATACAATTAAGGAAAGCATTCTGTCATCTTAAATTTCAGCGTTCACGTCGCCAAGAAAAGGCCCCGCTGAGAAAATTTACGCAATTATTGATGTCATTTTAATCTGTTGTCTTTCACTGCAGTTTCTGTTGACGGCATACTCAACAGAGAGCGAGAGAAAAAGTCAAAGTATTCTTGGGAGTATTTATTATTACGCCTCTTTACCCAGGAAAACCTCTTGGAGTCTCAACACTCTTTTTCAGGAGTTTTACACAGTGAGGGGAAGGGGGCGATATTTGTGATGTGTAATCCCAATTAAATAATTTGCAGGTAATGTTTCAGCATTTGAGATGTTTTGGACGATACCGAGGACATTACATGTGTCTTGTTATTTATTGTTGTGGGAGGGAAACCTGAGAGCCCGGAGAAAATCCATGCAGAACAGGTGGAGAACATACAAACTCCACGCAGAAAGGCGCCCGAGTCGGGAGTCGAACCCAGGTTTTTCTTGCTGGGAGGCACGCGTGTTAGCGCTGCGCCACTCTGCCGCCCACTGTTTAGCATGCATGCATACAGCCACCTACTGTACTCGAGCCTCCTAGCTTGATGCGACAAAAATGACCACATTTCTTCCCCCGCCTACGAGATCCACTATTTGAGTCAAATAGAAAATACGAATAAACATCAGAGGTGCTGCAAATCACCTGCCCGTGAAAATTAATAGACATTGCAATAAAAGAAACCCTCACACAAACACAGACACATACGTGAATTGTATACTGCAGTTTTGAACAGAAGACACTTCCACGATGGTGTTTCAGAAGAATAGCTGGTACTTTACGTATTTAGTGTAAACTCTTAAGCATCGATTTTCTTTATTGCAAGCGCCGGCATTCTGGGAATTATAAATGAGTAATGATTTTTTTGCTTAGATCAAACCTTAACAACATTCGCTACAGATACATTGTCTGCTAACTTTATGACCACAAAATGCTCCACCGTGCATATAGGTCGGTGAGGAATGTAGAATGGGAATTGGGACAGGATTGGTAACGTTAAACAAACTGTGGTGGTTCACACTAACAGCAGCACGTGGTGCAGGAGTAGCGTATCATGGCAGTTGTCTGTTCACTCACCTCTTCCCACTGATGGATGTAACGGATGAGCCGGGAGAGTCTTAGAAGCCGTAGCAAGCTCAGGATCTTGGTAAAACGGACAATGCGCAGGGCTCTTGCAGTCTTGTACATTTCTGAGTCGATTCGGGTCTCCACGATGAGGAATATATAGTCCACGGGTATGGACGACACAAAGTCTACCAGGAACCAACTTTTCAGATACCTCATTTTAATAACTTGTGGATCCAATATAATATCGGTGTTATCTTCGACAACGATGCCTGTTCTGAAGTTTAACACAAGGTCCACTAGGAAACACGTGTCCGACAACACGTTAAACACAATCCAGGCAGTTGTGTCCTCTTCGTGGAAGAAAGTGATCCCCACGGGGATTACAATGAGGTTTCCCACCATCAACAACAGCATGATGATATCCCAGTAGAACCTGTGGGAAGGAAATTGAGCGTTAACCAAGGTTGAAATCGCATGACAAAAAATACTCCCTGAGTGTTTGTCCAGATGAGTAATGCTATGGCTGTTCTCGAACAGAAACACTGAAAAACAATACCGGTTTTACTTTGCGGTGATACACATTATACTCCCACAGTAGTGCCCTTCATTGTATTTCATTATAAAACACACGAGATCATTGCCCCTCATTGTGTTTCATCCAGTACTCGTAAAACACACCGCATATAAAATCGTCAGAATGCTTTTTTTTAAAAAACTGGGTACAGCTCGGTGAAGACATGGGGGAATGAGGGGGGGGATTTCAATTGGTGACCTAAAGCACCATAATGTGAAGACAGAATAATGCATTACAGAGGCTTTCAAAATATACATTATTCAACGAAAACGATTATAAAGTTCCGTATTATAAGCCACTTAATGTTTACGGGAACAATCTGTACCCAGGCGTGTGGCATACATGTAAATTAAACCACTGCATTATGATGTTGGCGCGTCCTTTGTGTGAGGTGTAGTGTAAAAAGGGCTGGCGAACAACTTCGCTGACATCATATGTTGGCCCTTATTGAGTCAAGAAAAAAAAGCACTTTTCGAATTTTACATTCTACATTTACAATGTGCAAGCGTCGCATTCTCGCGGAAATGTATTAAACGAAAACGGACTTTGACGAAAGTAGCATGCAAATGTGCACCGCATCCGTTGTGTTACAACACGGGGTGTGTAACCAACGGGTGTGTCTCTGCGGGCAATCTCGTGTTTGTGTATTTGCGTGAGCATATTGGGAAAAATCCAAGCGAGGACACCATCCTGCCCCTACCCGCCCCATCGAAAATCTGAGCGCAATCCCGTTTCAGGACCTTGGACAGCGCCGCTGGAATTCTGCGCACGTCCTGGCGACGCTGGGTCACCTTGACAGTGGCCGCAAGCAGCAGCAGCAGCATCAGCAGCTCCGGCTCCGCGTAACGCAACAATAACAACACGGGCGCAATATACAAATCGAGCTCGGCTAAGATGTGCCGAGATATGTCTTAAAAAGGGGGGAGGGAACTCTCGCAATTGGAGAAAAATTGCAACTAACAAGCGAGCGCAGTGCCAAGCAATGCGCGAAGTCTTTTTTTTATTGCATTCGCGTAAGGGGCCACGTTTTCCATACCGGCGACTTTGGGCGTTGTCGAAACAGGATTGCTATGAGTCGACTTAGCGCTGAGCTGCCTGTGTTGTGTTTAGAACTGAGCGGCGTGTACGTTTGCATATCTGTGGCCATTGAATGTTTGGGGATTCTATAAAATACGCAGCCCGCCTCTCACAGTTGAACACCCTGCGTAAATGATCGCCGTGGTTATTTTGCTTGACGAATGGCTGCATGATGTGTTGACAACGCAAGCCCGGTGTCTGTCGCACAGAATTCAACTTCTGGTTGGGCTCTTATCACGTCGACTCACTGCGCAATCAGTGACCTCACACTGCAGGCAAAGTGACGTATAGTTCAGTTGTAATTAAGAAACACCTGCTAGGCAGGTAAATTATGCATCAGCTGCAAGAGACAGTGTACGTCGTCACTGCTGGCCTTTATAACGAACACCTTGAAATGTATTTGAGTAACTTATTATGCTACCTAAAGGCGGCGTGAACAATGCCGCGTGTGGTATAAGACCACCAGCCCTACAGGTGTATTCCAATGGCCGTGGAACTTCTGCTGGTGTCCTCTAGGACAGCAGTGTTATACGATACAAAGGGTTTATAAACCCGGGGAGCGGGCGACCGTGGTGGTGGTGATGGTGGTATACAATGTCCAGATTGTACTTAGCCTTCACGCATGGAAAAAGTGCAACGAAAAATTACATACGCGACGTGACTGGAGCGTTTGCCGGTGTATTACTGACTACTTAGTAAAGATGCGGCAAAGCAGTAGCGTCCACTGCGCTCGTATATTCATACCGAAATAAGTTCAAAGGTTGTTTCTTCAGTGACCCAAACACCCCGTTAAGTTAAAACAATATTTTAAAAAAAAATTCATTATTTTTTTTATGAAAGGGGGACCGTAACCCGTTAGCAACGGAAACAAAAGAGTAAACAACACGCGCGGGGTTTTTATTTGTAAGACAGCCGTCGTTAACGGGCACAAGTGTCGTCTATAGGCAGTCGCTCGTATCATAAGTGACACGCGTGACCTATGAATGTATCGATGTATCGCCAATATCTGAACGCGGTGACAGGCAACCCGCGTGACGCTCAGCGGGGTAGCGAAGCGGCGGCACTCTCACTTACCCACCTGAAATCACTGTACGGGTGAATAATCCAAAAGCCGGCCGATTTCACCCGTTCTCGTTCCCGCTCCACCGCCTTCTCGCTCCCGAACATGCGCAGGGAGAACTTATTGACTCCCGGCTGTAACATGGCGCTAAACTGCCTCTGCATGAAGGTGGCCTGGATGCCGCACTGTTCGCCATCGTCCAGCAGCATGGGCTCGGCCGACTCGCCCTTGAGGAAGCCCACCGAATTGGCCTGGGGCCGCTGACTCTGACCTTTCCTCACGGACCCTGAGCGAGAAGCGCGCGGCGCGTCGCCTCCTCCTGCTCCCTCCTGCTGCTGAATGCCCGCCGCGCTCTCTTCGCACTCGTAGGCACCGCCCGAGGCGCACTCCCCTTCCATGATGGAGCGCTTCTCCTCGGACAGCTCCTGGTCGTGGAAATGACGACTGGCGATAGAGGTCAGGCTCCCCTTGGTCGCTCTCCTGCAGTCCCCGTTGGTGCTACGCTTCATTTTCCTGCCCACGTCCGTCTCCTTTATATTGGACTCGCGCCCGCCGGCGCTCCTGTCCACGCCGCCTCCCAGCGACGAAGACACGGTTTTCATTCGGATGCTCTTGCCTCGCGTAATCTTCCCTCCTTCCTCCTCGTCGTCGCCAATGCCGCCGCTGCCGTCGCCGCCGCCGCCTCCTCCTCCTCCTCCACTGCTGCCTCCGCTCGCTTTGCTCTTCTTCTCCATGCTACCGTTTCCCTGGGCCGCCGCCGCGCGCTGCGACAGACTGGCGCGGTCCCCCCGCATAGCGGGTGGTGGTAATTTATCCATGTCGACGGGACGCGAATGTCACAGCGTCCTCTAGCACCAACAAATCTCGCCGCACCGGACGCCGGGCGGGCGGGCGGGCGGAGGGTAGCGCTTTCCGACTTGCGCCCCGCGATCGAAGCGATTTGGAGATTATAGCGAGTTTGATGCCTCCGCACTAGCGGCCCCTTCAGCCTGGGCTGGCGGTGCAGTTAACGCTGCGAGGTTTCACGCCGCAATACCTTTCCACGCGCTCTTCGTCTGATTCATTTGTATTGTTCTCTGCCTTTCAACAAGATCGTCACGTTACGCCGAAACTGTTTGCGTAACGGAAGAAATCGGGTTCTTGCATGCGTATGCAGTTCTTTGTTTTTGGGATGGGATCCAAGTATTTGATTCGGGGTGATTTTTTTGTATGCTTGGTTTCGCTACAAGAGTCATATGTTTTTTTTTATAATTTGAATTTCTAAGAAGCGAATGCATCTGATCCCTTTTTGCAAAGGTTGTTAATTCAGGACGGAACCGCATTATCATTCACGAAGCTTGATTAAACCTAAAATATTAATCCGGATCATAAACGGCCCAAGGGCTCATTTAATTGCGCATTACTTTGAGCGAATATAAAAGTTAGATGGAAAAGCTAAAGTAAATGAAAATGTGTTACTCTCAGCAACACATTTATCATCACACGCATACGAGGGAACACACAGTACAATAATGTCCCGTTACATCCCAGACATTCGTTATGGTATAGTGAGTAGAGTTATAGTTTCAGTTCCCCTTAACTGCTCAATAAGGCCTCACCGTGTCCCAAGACTCTTTTCAGGAGGACGCTGCATTGGGGTTTTCGTCTATTTCCATTAATCACTGAAACACTTTTCAAGGACATGGACGATGACAATGGAACTAAAGCAGTGCGCAAATCAACGCATACGCACAGAGAAGTGCAATTTTGGAATAACACTGTGACGTAGAGAGAGGAACACATCGATCGAGTTTCACCATGGAGTTGGTCGAGCTTCACCATGGCGTGGAAGCTGAGGGCAGGAATATGCCAGATAGGGCATCCACTGTGGAAATTGAACCATGGGAAGATCGGCTTTTTTTGCAGGAGTTTGGAGATTTGTTGCATGGCGTGACTGTCGGGGATGGTAATGGCATGAGGAGGCCTTCATCTAACAATGGATAGACCATGGCTGATAGCGATGATGACATGTCATAGATTCTCAATGAGCGCACTGACTGATGTGCATTAATTGAAGTTGTTGCTGCTTTTCTTGCAGGTAAAGACCACGTATCCAGCATACACATTTTGTTTGATAAGCATGGCTTTCTCCTAATAATAAAACACTTAATATTATAAATACTTATCGTCGCAATTGGCTCTTACCTAATTCGTTATCATTGGGAATTTGTATGTTTGCTTGTGTGCTTTAGAAATGAAACCTGAGCCCACTCCTTTCAACAAAAGAAAAATCGCTTTCATTTCGCCTCTTGTAAAGTAATCGTCTTATTTATTCCCGAACTGTGAGTCTCTTGCTATCTTCGGTAAGAATAGCCTTTCTGCAAAATGCGTATGTTCAAATCGTGCAATCACCACAGGTCACATTACTCCGTATTATTGCGATTGCAATTAAACAAATATGCATATATAAAATGTTAATATACTACCCTTTGCCAATGCATTTCTTGATGACGGCTGCCCTTCCACACTGTTGGTCACGTGTTCTTTTGGCCAAACTGCAGCACGCTGGTCAGCACGGGTTGCTGAAGAAGTGCCAGTTCAGACATCACCTCCCCACTGATGTCTGTCATGGCCGCGAATGGAACACACATCGTCGAGTTTATTGTGCAGCGTGCTAGCCACAGTGCCACTGCTCCACCCCAATATGTGTATATATTCATACTTGATCAAAATATTAAGCCACGTGTTGCACAGGGAGAAAAGAAAACATACAATACTCCCATCCCTAAAATATATAAAATAGATAGTTCGCTGCAATGTTACTCCAAATATTTCTCTAGTTTTTGTGGTCTATTTTTTCATGAAGACAGCCATTCAGGAGAAAAACACTTTAAAACAAGCCCTTTTCAAAGAATATGGAACTTCAGATCACGCAGCAATGATCACACCCAGTGATGCCTCCCTTGTCATTTTCAAAGAACGAGAAATCTGGCTCCACTTGTGATGTGAACAGAATAAGGGGATAAAGAGCCCTTGACGTGGTCCACTTAAAACGAATTTCTTTTGCTTTTTTTTTGGTCTTGTTTCTGGAGGTGACTCGCTGTCAGAACTTGCACAGGTGTAAAGTAGTGGGTCAATTGACGTGTGACTCCACTCAGCCTGACGTGGCTTTCTTCAGAATAGTCTTCGTGAGTGGGTCTATACAGGAAACGCAAACAATGTTCAGATATAACTGTTGCACGATTACACGGCGTGGTTATGTGAAAGGTCCCCTACGGGCTTACTTTTCGAGCTATTAATAGCGCACTGGACTAATCTTTTCACAAGTACAGTGTAAACGGGACAATAAAATAAAATATAACATTACCATTGTCGCCATTAACACATCAAATGAAAATTATTCATTCGGGTAATGGATTTGACAATGGAAAGTTTTAGACCATATGGAGTGAAATAGCCCACAGCAAGTGCTGAAATGCTTCGGAAACCTTGTCATGAGTTAAACCACAACTTTGGTAAATGATATTAGTTACGAGAGGGGAGTGGAATTTAACTACCACATATGTAAAATTCACTGCGGTGGTGAATATTTGAACGCAACACCTGCAGCTATTAATTATATACACTAAGCAAGCGTCTGTCGAGGCTGCAACGACACCCTCTGGTCGTGATGTGATGACGATTTTTGGATATGGCGATCGCCACTAAAATAACAGCGAGGAGGAATGATAGAGGAAACAACATTTCCGTTCAAAGCATCTTACACGTGTCACATTAATCACAGTACATTTTTCAAACATTTTATAAATATCTTCCTCTGCAAGATATGGAGCAATCGCTTTCACAATATTCAGTCACCTGTTAAGAGGAGAATCATTAGGATGTCTATAAATGGATTGCTCTGTATACATGATTTGACAGGTTTAATTTCACAATGTGTAAGCGTTTATTGATTGATGGAGTCCTTTAACCAGATGGGAAGACGTTTATATTCAGGTTTTTTTAAAGAGAGAGGCTTAATAGAGAAGCCATGTTTACAGTGGATTGAGGTAGCATCTGGAATCAGTTGCATAACGTACATGACGTGAAAATACCGCTTAATTTACACGATTTAACATTTTCAATGAAGGGATAATTCCAAATAAGTTATTGTATGCGCAATTGAACGCAATGTTCTAATTCTACAAGTGATTATGTCAGTGTGTAGTTAGAGTTTGAGCCATGGATCTTTGAATTCCCTGTTAATAAGTGGCATAGGCCGGCTCGGGTGTTTTCATTGGCCATGGAAACGTCACAATTATGAACCGTGCGTAGGTTAAATATTGCACGTGTGAATAAATCGCCCCATCAAGAGAGGCATGCGGGTGACAAACAGTCTCATAGATCAACAGCACAATGGAAACGTCATCTTTCTAACCAGGCTTTCCCCCCAACGCTTGCACAACACACGGCAACTACCTGACAAACGAGTCCTGCCACATCTGGGCCAGTAGCACATTCATGCATAGCCACTGATTAATATCTGGAACCACGCCGCCCACTGGTGGTTGGTGGTGTTGGTGATGCGAATGCTGCTATACAGTACTTCCATAATATAGTTTGTGGCGTTAGATCGACACATTTATAATGCTAGATTCTGTGGATTTACTCTCCAACACACCGGTGTGCTGAACGAGTAACGCATTGGCATGTTTTGGTTACGTGACAAACATTCCTAATTGGCTGTGTCGGATGGCGGTGGATATTAACGACACATTTCTATTTACACGATTTAACCCAAAAACCTCTATTATGGATACTTGTCGCGAAAGTCTACGTGTTAAACCGTACAATACTTATTAGTCCATGAGGCCCAGACCAGATGTTGGAATTGTCAATACCTTTGGCGACGGCCATAGCTTTAGTGCAGGAGTTGGCAACTTGCGGATCTTCACAGCCCGCTTTGTGACGTTATGTGATGTATGTATGCATTCACATGCATTGCGGCTCTCGAAATATTTAGTTTGGTACCGAATTAGATTTTATTTAATTTTGGTCGAACGAAACCTGCTTTAATGGTTCCAATTTCTCAACGTGGCCAATAATAGCGAATTAAGTGATAACCGTTTAAAACGAGTGGGGTTATGAAATCATTCACTCTTAGTAACCTAAATAAATCCGTATAAGTTAATGTTTCGCTACCTAATGCGTATGAGTAATGTTTTGCTACCTTGGGTGGATATCGATGGTTTGCTCTGCCCATGGTTGGTATTTGTGCGGTTATTGAGGGGTATTGAAAGTCACCATCGTGTGGATTACGGTTGGATGGTGGCTCTGTGGCTGGTGCTCATGTGGTAGTTGGTGGTCCTGTAATATTGTACAGGGACTCCTCTACTTATTACCGAGTTAGGTTCCTGTGGTCTGTTCGTAAGTCCAACTTTACTCCTGTCAATTCCAAACATGTTGTACGGCATGTACACTAAACACGGGGAATGGTTTTAAAAGTTGTATAATATGCTGTAGATGCCACTGGTTCTTCATGTTCTGCAGATGTAGATGCCACTGGTTCTTCATGTTCTGCAGATGTAGATGCCACTGGTTCTTCATGTTCTGCAGATGTAGATGCCACTGGTTCTTCATGTTCTGCAGATGTAGATGCCACTAGTTCTTCGTGTTCTGAAGATGTAGATGCCACTGGTTCTTCGTGTTCTGCAGATGTAGATGCCACTGGTTCTTCGTGTTCTGCAGATGTAGATACCACTGGTTCTTCGTGTTCTGCAGATGTAGATGCCACTGGTTCTTCATGTTCTGCAGATGTAGATGCCACTGGTTCATGTTCTGCAGATGTAGATGGAACTGGTTCTTCGCGTTCTGCAGATGTAGATGTCACCACCGCCATCATTTGCGCGGCGGTTGAACTTAGGACTCTCGATCCGAACAGGCAACTGGACATACGGGACAGGTTTGTTCGTATCTCTGAAAGTTCATCAGTCGAATGTGCGTAAGTCGAAGATCCCCTGTTGTGTGAGTGGTGAGCGGACGCGTCGTGGTTAGCGCACCGACTACGCCACGGATCCGGCGACCCGAGTTTGTTTCCCGCTCAGAGCGAACCGACATCGGTGGCGAATATCGGAACCGGTCCCGTACTTCCCGTAGGTCGACTCGGCCTTAACTGACAAGCTGGTGCGGTGTAAAACATCATGGGAGACAACCGCGCCTGCGTGTTAACCACCTAGGCGTGCTATGCCCGGCCTTCATAGGTAGGTGCTCGCTCACAAGTCTGTTAAAGAGCTACACGGAGGGGGATCGTTGTCCTTGGTGGTGAATTTGGTGATTAAGTGTGGATTACTGACTGACATGTGGTCGGTGGAGGTGAACGTTTCCGAAGACGTCGATTCGTATTGGCGTGGTTGCTGCTGGTGACGGCCAAGCAGTTGTGTATGTAGCCTTCGACACTGCAACGTGATGGGCCTCATGGTGCACCTAGCCTGGCACAAGCGCCGTGGCGATTCCACCGCCACCCAGTGGCGATCTTGCGGCTTTGGTTGTTGGTGGTTGTTGTTGGTTGTTGTTGGTGGTGGTTGATGTTGGTCGTGGCTGTTGGTGGTTGTTGGTGTTTTTTGTTGTTGATGGTTGGTGGTTATTGGTGGTTGTTGTTGAAGGTTGTTGTTGGTGGGTGGTTGTTGTTGGAGGTTGTTGTTGTTGGTTGTTGTTGGTTGGTGGTGGTTGTTGTTGGTGGCGGTTGTTGTTGGAGGTTGTTGTTGGTGGTTGTTGTTGGAGGTTGTTGGTTGGTGGTTGTTGGTTGGTGGTTGTTGTTGGAGGTTGTTGTTGGTGGTTGTTGGTTGTTGTTGGTGGTGGTTGTTGTTGGTTGGTGGTTGTTGTTGGTTGGTGGTTGTTGTTGGAGGTTGTTGTTGGTTGGTGGTTGTTGGTTGGTGGTTGTTGTTGGAGGTTGTTGTTGGTGGTTGTTGTTGGTGGTTGGTGGTTGTTGGTGGTTGTTGTTGTTGTTGGTTGGTGGTTGTTGTTGGTTGGTGGTTGTTGTTGGAGGTTGTTGTTGGAGGTTGTTGTTGGTGGTTGTTGTTGGTGGTTGTTGTTGTTGGTGGTGGTTGTTGTTGGTTGGTGGTTGTTGTTGGAGGTTGTTGTTGGTGGTGGTTGTTGTTGGTTGGTGGTTGTTGTTGGAGGTTGTTGTTGGTTGGTGGTTGTTGTTGGAGGTTGTTATTGGTTGGTGGTTGATGTTGGTGGTGGTTGTTGTTGGTTGTTGTTGTTGTTGTTGGTTGGTGGTTGTTGTTGGAGGTTGTTATTGGTGGTTGGTGGCTGTTGTTGGAGGTTGTTGTTGGTGGTGGTGGTTGGGTCGGCCGCTGCTCGTCGTGAAAGATGCGTTCACGCTGTACCGCCCACACCCTTCACGGCCTTGCGATTAACGTTCGCAATTCGATTCGGCAATACTAAATAAATTATTATTGTAATGAATATTGGTCGCGAAAGCCCACGTGTTAAGCGACTGTAATGTTATTGTGCACGGTGCAAGGCCGTGAATAGAGCCCCCCCCTACATCATTTGCGGTGTTGGTCAATATTTGGTTACGCCGGTTCACCTCGAGAGATTGTATTTGTCAGTCCCGAGTTTTATAAGTCCTTAGTTTTAAATTTAACAACGCGAACCACCCAGGCCCAGTGTGTCATGCAGAGGAGGAACACTTTGAGGCAGGCCTTTGGCCAGGATCCCGCTGCGGCCGAGGCCCCCGGGCCTACTCCGCAGGCCCCCGGGCCTACTTCGCAATCCTCCGGGCCTACTCCGCAGGCCCCCGGGCCTACTCCGCAAGCCCCCGGGCCTACTCCGCAGGCCCCCGGGCCTACTCCGCAGGCCCCCACGGCTTCCTCCTCACGGCGCCTGGGACCACCGCTCAGGGCTCGGGGCTGGGCCCTCGCCGCCTACAGCCGCCTCGTCCCGGGCCCCGTGGCCCCCAGGCCTCCCGTGGCCCTCAGGCCTCCGGGGGCCCCCAGGCCTCCCGGGGTCACGGTCGAAGCGCGCGCGGGCTCGCGGCAGAGTGCGGCAACGTGGATGGTGCGGATTGTCGTGCGTGACCACCACCACCATCATCGTCGTCGTGAGACCCATCCATTAATCATCGTCGTCGTTGTTAGACCCATCAGCAGCATCATCGTCGTCGTCATTGTTGAGACCCATCAGCAGCATCAGCATCATCATCGTCGTTGTTAAGACCCATCCATTAATCATCGTCGTTGTGAGACCCATCATCATCGTCGTCGTCATTGTTGAGACCCATCATCGTTGTCGTTGTGAGATCCATCCATTAATCATCGTCGTCGTTGTTGAGACCCATCATCGTCGTTGTTGAGACCCATCAGCAGCATCATCATCGTCGTCGTTGTTGAGACCCATCATCATCGTTGTCGTTGTGAGACCCATCAGCATCATCGTTGTGATACCCATCATCAGCAGCACCATCATCATAGTTTCATAGTTCCATTTATTTGGTATAGCCCTGTGAGCCATTCGGCTCTTGAATCGGGTGCAACCGCAACAAACAAAAAAACATGAATAAGAAAACGTCTTAAAGTGATTATGTGACTGTGCAAACAGAAAATCCAGGAAAAAAATATCTAAATATTCCTGAAATAGCACCGCACACCAACGCTGTGTGCAAAAATCTCAGTGGGATGCAAGTCAAACAACAACAAGAAAACTTAGATTAAGGCCATCAGTCTAACTGGGTACTACAATAAACAAAAACATGGCCAAACCAAAAAACTTTAGAAATCACCAAAATAAATCCGTAAATGCAATGTAACAGTGATCATAGGAACTGTGACCGAATTTGTAACAATAAACTACATAAATAACATGTAACACCAAACTCTAGAGCCACAGCTGGCTGCATACGTCACTGGACAGTCCAGTCCCTTCACCTGATGAAGGCCACTTGTGTTGTGGCCGAAACGTCGTGAGTTTTTGTTTTATTTTTACCTCCGTGACTTTGCCGAATAGAACCAAAGAGTATGGATCCTTGCAGTCACGAAAGCTTCAAATCTAGAACAGGAGCATCAGTCGGAGTATCACATTTTTCAATGCACCTTTAAGATCAGCACACTAAATCAAAATACAGATAATACTTTGCAGCGGTCATCCGGAGCGAAACATTTTATTTTAGGCCACTGAATGGCAGTGGCAGCTAGGGGTGTACAACTCCTCTAGAGCAGTTTTGAGTGAAGATCTCGTAGGTAGTGATTCAAGTTGCAGTTTATTGGCAATAGCATTCCAGACCCTGGGGGCATCAATAGCAAAGGCCCTTCCTCCAGTTTTTGTACGGCAATAGGGAATGTGAAGTTGGTAAATGAGCGAAGACCTGAGGTCAAATTTGTTCTTTGAAACAGAGAGGAGGAGATCCAGCAGGCAGTCTGCGGATTTTTTTGTAAGTACATCGTGAATAAATAAGATCTGGTGTACAAGCCGTCGAACATTAAGAGATGTTAAGTTTGACCCAATGTAGAGATCACAGTGGTGAGTCCTATATGGGCAGTTCAATGCAAATCTTAAGGCCGAGTGATAGATGGAATCAAGCTTCAGTACAGTACTTGGGGCTGATTTATACACGATATCACAGTGATCATCGTCGTCGTGAGACTCATCAGCAGCACCATCATCATCATCGTCGTAGTTAGTTCATAGTTCCATTTATTTGGTATAGCCCTGTGAGCCATTCGGCTCTTGAATCGGGTGCAACCGCAACAAACAAAAAACAAAAACATGAACAAGAAAACATCTTAAAGTGATTATGTGACTGTGCAAACAGAAAATCTAGGAAAAAAACATATTTTTTTTCCTGAAATAGCACCGTAAACCAACGCTGTGTGCAAACATACCAGTGGGATGCAAGTCAAACAATAACAACCACAAGACAACTAAGATTAAGGCCATCAGTCTAACTCCGTACTACAATAAACAAAAACATGGCCAAACCAAAAAAACTTTTCGAAATCACCAAAATAAAAGCCATAAATGCAATGTAACAGTGATCATAGGGACTGTGACCGAATTTTTATCAATAAACTACATAAATAAAATTATAACACCAAACTCTAGAGCCATATTTTTGGCCACTGGTATAGCCCTGTGAGACCCATCAGCCGCACCATCATCATCGTCGTTGTTGAGAGCCATCAGCAGCACCATCATCGTCGTTGTTGAGACCCATCAGCAGCACCATCATCATCGTCGTTGTTGAGACCCATCAGCAGCACCATCATCATCGTTGTGAGACCCATCAGCATCGTTGTGAGGCCCATCAGCAGCACCATCATCGTCGTTGTGAGACTCATCAGCAGCACCATCATCGTCATCACGAACATTTAACATAATCGGCACCAGAAATATCATCGTCGGCATCATTGTCTTGGGCAGCAGCATGCTGTAAAAACTAGTTACCAATGGTAAACATCACCACAGTAATTTGTATCATGACCCATATGGGTAATCATCGGCGTTATCACTGGTTACCATCATTCTTAACCGCCAGCATCTCACCATCATCAGTAACACCGTCCTCGGTTCCACGATTCAGTGTCTACACTCGTACCATCGCAGACCTGTCAACCCCTTACCAGTGCCCCCTACATTATTAAACACAAATTCAGATCTTATTGGTCACCACGTGCCCCTTTTCAATCTCAACGTTCATCCTGTCAAAGTCCCATCACACAAGGGAGAAACACAAACAAATACACCACAAGCAGCAGTTGGCAGCTATGCAGTCGGCATCACCTCGTCACCACCATCGTCATCTTCATATCGTGCATTGGAATAGAGGATTTTAAATCAGTAATTACTAAGATACCCTATCACGAGTACTGTACTTTGCATCGTCAAAATCGTCTCGATTTACGTAACCAGCACTGTCAACACGCATCTCGGTTCTCAACATACACGACTGTATTTGTGAAACTAATCACGTAAACAAAAGATGTTGCTTACTGAACAAACCCACGCCATCAATACGTGTTCAGGATAGTATATCGTATTGACTCCGCAAGTTTGGGCCAATATCTTTCGTGGGAAAGTTTCCATCATTGACTAAATCCGCAGTGCATTTTTTATTTGATCTCTACACTTTTAAGATGAAAGGCAAGATGATTTGGGAGAGAACCCCCCCCCATGCGATTAAACTGAACTATTTTGTCGAACAAATGTTACAAGGGTGGCGGGGGGGGTGTTTTGGTGGTGAAACTGCCTCGGGTAGTGTTAGTATCAAGTTGGTGAACGAGAATCTCCTTCGCCTGGGATATGGGGGCATGGACACTTAATACATCACGTTGATTTATCGAAATTGTGCAATTTCCCGCGGCTGCGTTGCTCCACGCTGTGTTTTTAATCACAGGGCATGGCGTGTTTAGTGAGTGCGCCGATTTAGTTCATTTCTCTTTACACTGCCAACAACAACAACAACGTTAATTCACCGCTGCGGCGTTAACCCTTTTAGAGTATTTGTCGATTTATGACTCTTTAAACGTGTGCTTTAAAACGCTTGCGTTCCTGGTAAAGAAATACAGGATTAGTCAATTGTATATTTTTAAAACTGGATTAAAATATCAGACACGTGAAGGTAATTGTTATTCTTGGTTCTTTTCGGTAAAGTCACGTAGAAGGGAAACAATAAAATAATAAAAATATAAAACAATAAAATCATCACGACGTTTCGACTGCAACAAGCAATCATCATCAGGTGTGAAAACCACAGCAAGAACAATTTAAAGTGGCGGGTTTTTTTTTTCAAATTTTCTTGCTGTGGTTTTCACACATGATGATGATTGCTTGTGTTGCAGTCGAAACGTCGTGAGAATTTTATTGTTTTATATTTTTATTATTTTGTTTCCCTTCTACGTGACTTTACCGAAAGAACCAAGAATATGAATCCCTGCAGTCACGAAAGCTTTAAATCAAAAAGGTAATTGTTATATACATATTACATTTTTTATTGAGCGCCTACAACCAAAATGTAAATCGGATCCTGGGAGAAGACCCCTCCATCCCCATGTTGTCCTTCATTGGTGGGGGGCTAGTGTAGTGGGAGGGGGGGGGCTCGTGTAGTTGGGAGCTAGTGTAGTGGGGGGCTCGTGTAGTGGGTAGCTAGTGTAGTGGGTAGCTAGTGTAGTGGGTAGCTAGTGTCGTTGGGAGCTAGTGTAGTGGGGGGCTCGTGTAGTGGGTAGCTAGTGTAGTGGGGGGCTAGTGTGGGGGGCTAGTGTAGTGGGGGGCTAGTGTAGTGGGTAGCTAGTGTAGTGGGGGGCTAGTGTAGTGGGGGGGGGACTCGTGTAGTTGGGAGCTAGTGTAGTGGGGGGCTAGTGTAGTGGGGGGCTAGTGTAGTGGGGGGCTACTGTAGTGGGGGGCTAGTGTAATGAGGGGCTCGTGTAGTTGGGAGCTAGTGTAGTGGGGGGCTAGTGTAGTGGGGGGCTAGTGTAGTGGGGGGCTAGTGTAGTGGTGGGCTAGTGTAGTGGTGGGCTAGTGTAGTGGGGGGCTAGTGTAGTGGGGGGCTAGTGTAGTGGTGGGCTAGTGTAGTGGGGGCTAGTGTAGTGGGGGGGGCTCGTGTAGTTGGGAGCTAGTGTAGTGGGGGGCTAGTGTAGTGGGGGGGCTCGTGTAGTTGGGAGCTAGTGTAGTGGGGGGCTAGTGTAGTGGGTGGCTAGTGTAGTGGGGGGCTAGTGTAGTTGGGAGCTAGTGTAGTTGGGAGCTAGTGTAGTGGTAGGGCTAGTGTAGTGGGGGGCTAGTGTTACTTTATTTCACTACGCTGGTCAGTGTGAGTTTGTGAAGAGGGGGCCCAGGAGGGGTTCAGACATCACTCGTGAGTAATGGAATATAATTGAACCGCGGTGGCGAGATGTTAGATCCCTCACCTGGTATAAAGGAGGTCGTAGGTTCAATCTCGACCCTGACGCCTGCTGTATATTTGGAGTTTGCATGTCTCTCTACATGTAGTCGTGTGGCTAGTTACTTGGGATCCTCAGGTTTTCGCTCCACATTGAGAATCAACATGCGTTTAGGAGTATTTGTCTGCTATACATTTCCACAAGTCACAATGTCGAGCTATCAATTGTGCACCGGTCGCTTCAGAAAAAGAGCTATATAGCTCAGTAGGTCTAACCTGGTCAAATAAAAAAAAGTTTCGTTTAGTTCAGAACCAGCATGGTCAATTGTGCAGTGCACTAACCATAAACCATTGCTATACTTGCACCATCCCTCAGCACTACGGATGCTAATATATTGTGGTTATTTTACTGAAGTGACAATTGGTTCATTCTGGATGGCAAATTACATTTTTCATCTTCATGTGTAGACATGCACGCATAGTTAGATTTTTTTCCCAAATGCAGCTTAAAAGTGGTTATATATTGGTACAGGTTGTTACACCTTTTGCACGTGCCCACACAAAAGTAAACATTTTCAGATGTGTCCATCCTGATAGACACTGCATGGCAGCAGCCTGTATTGTCTTACTTGGTGTCATGTGGATGTTCTCCTGTTTGGGTGCTTGGGCTGTTTGGGTTACCTGATAGGACAATTTACCAAATGTGGTATGGTGCAAATAAAAAAAAATTCTGCTTCCGCACCCTAATGTTGAGTGAGTGTGCATTGTTGCACCAATGGGATTTGGGGTCAGGTAAAAGGTTATATCTGAAAGAGGACATGGCTCAAATAATACTAGTGTTGTAGAACTCTTTAAAGTCTCTTTATAATCTACGTGCAATATTATTCCCAACAGCTTTTCTTTAATGCCCTTGCATTATAGCCAGGTCATATAACTTTCTGTATACGTAAGACTTACCGAAATAAGGTGAGATGAGTGTCTGTTCGTGCAGGATTTTGAATGCTCTGACAAGCGGGGGAAGCTTTTGATGTCCATCACTGAGTCTGGTAATTTGTCGGTAATGGACGGAGAAACTGCACTGGTAAGAACACACTATAACAATGTAATTGATGTAGTGTGAAGATATGGAATAATTCATTTTCGCTTTAAGTACGGACGTAATTTCACCCTCGGTATGCAATTAATTTATCTTATTGTCTATAAATGGTGATACCCATTTGATGATGTGTATAACTCGGTGGAAATAGATATATGCTTTCCCAACTGCAAAGTCCATTCCTTTGAGTTGGTGGGACCTGATGCCAAATGGACCATCGTGGACATGTATTTTTAGCACAGAGTAACATTTGGCTTTTTATATTGGCTAACAGTTAAATTTCAGTGTTCACTACTGAGAAGCATACACCCTTCCAGCTAAGGCTACATTTATATTGTAAAGTCAACAGAGGTGAAAATTGGAATATATGTGTAGAGTTGTTGGTGGATGTTAATGTTTTTAACAGTGAATCTGTGAATGCTGAAGGACATTTAGAAGTCAATTTGCCCATATATTGACAGTCTAGTACTTTTGTTTCCCCAGGCTACAGTTCTATTTTAAATAACCACGTAAAGCAGAACAAGATGTAACTAAGAGGCGGCACAGACTATACATGCCATTATTTATTAACGTGTCATTGTAGTCATCCAGTGGCATATGTCAAATGCGGTATTATATTAAAATAAATCACTTTTCACAGCTCATTGTCAATCCAGAATTGGACACAGGCCTCATGCTGCCTGTGTCATGGGGTGTAAGTGGGTGAAGGGAGTTCAGACAAAACTTGCCACCAAGGCCAGGAATAAAACTCAGGCCGCCAGTATTTAAAGCGCTGTAGTACGCTAACTGCTAAATCATTGCTCCACCACGCAATGTTATTCTTGTACTATAATTGAATAGTCTAGTTTAATGGGGTTTTAAGTTACGACACATTACCTAAATATCTTAAACAGTAATTGCTTGCATTATTGTATTTTATGTTGGTTTTTTTTACACACATGCCTACATTTTATGATATGATTAATGTCTCTTTCTGTTTATAGGAACAGTTTTCCATTTATGAAGCACCGTGCATGACAAGCTTGTGTCATGTTTTTCAAAAAGAAGAATGTGTTTTCTTTTCAACACAAGTTAAGGTAATTTTATTTAATTGCCTTATTTCTTAACCAGTTCCAATTTCAGTGAGCAACACCATGGAGAAGTAACCTCGGATTAAAGCGTATAATTGAATATAAAGGATGATACATTTATAGATACCCTACTAAAATGTGTAGAAATTAAACTGAAAACATTTTATTCCAATCCCTTGTCATTTCTACCATCTCAATCCACCGATTAAATCCCTGTAACACTCTTCCCTGCAAAATATGGCGCTATTGCTTCCACAATATTTGATCATTTGTTTTAGAAAAAAAGTAAGGTCATTTGAAATAACTGGCATATCTCTAAATGGATCGCCCTGTATATGTTAGAAATACAATAAGTCGGCAAAACACTTGTGTTAAGTAGATCACTTTTTTTTCTTAGTCATGGTGTGGTGGACTTGCTATTTCATCGGACCGTTCGGGTGACAGCAGTATGTCCCTAAGCATTGGTGCGCATCACTAGCCGAGATGAAAAGGGTGTGGGGATGTTGCCATTCCATATACGAGCCAGAGAGAAGAGATTCCAAAGCAATCAATTATACGATGTGTTTGTGCACATGGCTACAAATGACAAGCACAGCCATAGTGTGTGGGCAACATCTGGACATTTCTGGAGGCACAAGAGAAGCAACCAATGTGTAATTTAATCAAAATCGTTTTGGAAACCCAGACTTTGAATCACGGTTTCAGCATGTACTGTATTTGCAAGTAACCCCAAAAGGGAAATGGCGTTTTCATCTAATTCCCATGCGTAACATGCTGGATTTTAACCGCAACACGTTGAGTTGGAGATCACATTTTGAAATGCCCCGCATTGTACAAAATGTTCATATCGACTGTGCATTTGGTGACAATGGAACGCGCGTAGGTTTGTTTTTCACAAAGCCAACTCCATCTGAAATTGATTGAAATGGTGTTTATTGATGTGATTTAAATGTATGAGTAAATGGAAGCAAATTGCAGTCTTGTTACAGTGTCTATTACTCATATTTCAGTCTATTATGGTGTCTGTTACATGATTCATTCGTTGTATTTATGTAGACAATTTATAGCTTCTCTTTGTTGCTGTGTGTTGGCTGCAGAAAAGCAAAGGTAAAGTTGAAGGATCAGGTTGTTTGGCATGTGTCCAAAGTACTGTATGTTAAAAGATCACTGTCTCCTTTAGAAGATTGAGTATACATTAGTGGAACAGTGCCATTTCTTTGAAATTACCTTTGCAGTCGAAATAATTCTGCAATGGATTTCAGGATCTCGGCATGTGGTCAAAAATGGCCTCAGGTTAAAAATAGAATCTTAATTTTGTAGCAATAAGCACATCCAAGTACTTTATATCAAAGCCCTTTAAGAGAGGTAAATGTTTAATATTGAATTTACAATGGTTTAAAAAAAAAAAACGTATTGCATTTAATTATAATTTCATGCTTGGGATTTTTTTCATAAAAGCATTTTAAGCTGGCGGCAGTTTGGAAAAATTAAAGATGCATTTTGATTTAGACTGAAAAAAAAAATCAGTTATCGTGCATTTTAATGTTTTATTATTTCAATTTAAAGCTTTCGTGACTGCAAGGATTCATCTTCTTTGGTTCTTTTGGTAAAGTCACGTAGAACGAGAATAAAATAATAAAATAACACAATAAAATTCTCACGACGTTTCGGCCACAACGCAAGCGGCCGTCTGTCGTCCCGACAGGTCTGTTCCTTTCACCTGAAGACGGCCGCTTGCATTGTGGCCGAAACGTCGTGAGAATTTTATTGTTATTTTATTATTTTATCCTCATTCTATGTGACTTTACCGAAAGAACCAAAGAAGATAATAATCTGTTGTTGTTGGACAGGTCGAAATGTTTACATTTGCATTAAAAAAAATCATTGAATTTAACCCTTTTTAAATACTGTAAGATATTCTAAGTTCAAATAAACTTTACATTGCTACAGCGGTTGCCGACCTATTCGGTATAAACTAACACAATTCATCCTTCATTGTAACAGGCACAAATGTTTTCAGAGATGTGTTTGCGCAGCATACTAAACAGTTAATGTTCTACACGTTGCAAGAACATTGACTTTTTTTAAAGGTATCGTGGTAGTCTTATAAATGATTTTCCAAAACATTTTCCGGGTCAGATTTTACACTACGGTATAGTTATTTGTACAAAGGAGATGTTTTGCATCGTGGTATTGAACTTATTTACAAAACCTTCCCACTTTTCAGCTAAAAAGATAACTCGCAATCGGCACTGACCCCGCAACTTTTATGTGAAGTTGTGAACTCCACACTGGTAAACTTTCAAGAGCTGTTTTTTTGTTGGTATTTGACTTTTGTCAAAACTGCAAAGTCGCGTGTTGTATTGTTTTTGTAACCCTCAGACAGCGGGGCGCACGTTTCGAGTGAAGTTGTACGGAGAAACCAAAGAGCAAGCCCTGGAGCAGTGCTCCAGCTGTGTGATGGTCCTCTCAAACTTCATAAGGGTTCACAAGATGGCAGCGGTGCCTGCGGAGAAGCAAGGTGGTGGAAAACTCACGAAGCCACAGCCCGTGACCCATCATCTACTGGTAACTGAAAACCTCCATAAGAGGTTTTTTTGGGTTAGATCACGTAAATATAAATGTGTTGTTAATCCTGCCACCACCCGACACAGCCAATTAGGAAGGTTTGCCACGTAAACAAAACATGCCAACTCGTTACTAGTACAGCACACCGGTGTGTTGGAGAGTAAACCCACGACATTTACAATTTGAGTGCGGCGTTTCACCGGTAATTACAACTAACATCAAACGACAGCCAGATTTGGCTGTGTCGGGTGGTGGCGGGTTTAACGACACATTTATTTTTACGTGATCTAATAAAAAAACTCTTATGGATAATATAGGTCACGAAAGCCTACGTGTTAAACTAAGCAAAGAGCTGTTGGTTCACATTCTACTAAATAATGGGGACACAATACAGCTTGCGCAGTTATTCCTTGTAATTTATACCATTGTGGTATAAATTATTATTATACCATTGTGGTATAAATTATTGACAACATTCAAGTAAGTTAGGCACCACGGGGTGACCAGCCCCTCCCCTCCCCACCCAGCCCCACCCCTCCCACCCAGCCCCACCCAGCCCCTCCCCACCCTCCCCTCCCAGCCCCTCCCCACCCAGCCCCTCCCCACCCTCCCCTCTCCACCCAGCCCCACCCCTCCCATTTTGGATGCACGACGGACGGACACAATAATCCCCTGTGGGCTGGTGTAACCAGAGGTTCCTACCAATATAAACAGCTTCCTCTTGAGATATTTAAAATACAATGTATGTAACGAAATGTTTTATAGTCTTGAATATATTTTTTTTATTGTACTAAAGTGAGATAGATTTTGAATATTTCCATAACTGACTATTTCAGTGACTATATTCATTGAGAGTATCAGTGCTTGAGATGGAGCCATAGGTATAGCTTGTAATATTTGTGTTGGTGTACTGCTTTGAAAATCCAAAGGTCACAATTTGGTCTACCTGCGTGGCAGTTAAAACTTACATTTATCACACTACACTTGCAATCCAGAGATCACTAGGTTCTATTGATCAGCTGTCTCAGCACTTGAAACAGTGGGCAAGCTTCTTAAATCTCCCCCGCCTCTGTCCACCCAGCAGTATAAATGGGTACACGACCGTTAGTTGACCGGCAAGTGATGTGTGCTGGTGTAAAGTGTGGGTACTCCCACCTCTTACCAAGATGTCTTTCCAGCGTCGAAGAGTAGGCCAGTGTATTTTCTAAAACTCCCTCTAGTTGAGGCTATTGTCTGCCAGCAGTGGAGCAATTTTTTTTTTACAGGGATACAACCTCTTCCTTCTACCATTACCTCTTTGCAAAAATGCGTTGACACGGTGTGTGTTTTTATTTTGTTCCAAATGGAGGAAGCTGCTCGGCCCACTGGGAGTTTGCCTCAAGTGCACTTCTCAGATGGCACTGCATCCATGAGTCAGCTTGCGAAGGTACATGTACAGCCTGCTTTTATTATCAATCCACTGCTGCTGGATGAGGGCCTTACCCAAACCTTGTGTTAGAATGTATGCTCTTTGTAACTCACATTGTTTACTTAGTTCTGTTACTTCGAGGCATAGTTTACCATGTTTTTTTCATACGAGTATGATCCTTTCAGTTATTCCTGAATTCAGCAATTAAAAGCAACATACCAATGTGGCTAAAGAAGAGTTTTTGTTTTAGGTATATTAACTGCGGTGACATACAGATCATGCATATGGAAATTGACAAAGAACATTTAAAAAATATATGTAAATGTGCACCAAAACCGATGTAGAAGTGGATGTTTGGAATTAGACTGAGAGATAGAAAAGGAACACATGGATCAGAAAACAGACACATTGACTGTTTATAAAACTAAGCAGACTTGGGCACGACATGCCACAAGGAGGGGTCGTATATGTACGAATGTTGAACTTCTTTCGCACGGTACGTAGCCAACCGTGCTAATTGGAGGTGACTGCTCATCCAGACTAAGGAGCTGGCTGAATTGTGACATTGAGAGACCATGAGAGATGGCGATGGCTTGGGAAGGCCGCCATCAGCAAGTGTTAAGTTATGGCTGATGATAATTTCTCCAGGATACATATATAAAGAGACTGGTAACGATCCTTTTAAAATCTTTGACATGTTTTTGCATGTTTATTGAGTGCAGTATATCTGTAGAATATATCTATTTTTTTGTGATCCTGATTATACACAACCATACGGGTTACAATCGTGCTTTGCAGTGCCTGTGTGGAAATTCAAGTACTCAAAAGACTTGGCAGCCAGAGAGACAGGTTGTGCGATCCCGTAGTTGTAGATGCCTGTAACGATTTGTTGAGGGCAGCGGCTAACTCAGTGGCAGGCAGGTGATCGCTGAAGCTGACTCCTGCAATGGATGTGATAAAAAAAATATCGTAGACATAAAGAGCAGTTCAAGTTTCAAGGGTTTCGTTTTTTTCCCTCCAATGCTTTTTCCTAGTAATTTGCATACATTAAAACCCGTGTGTTTTTTTGTTAATTTAAAATCCATTTTGAGCAAACATGCTATTTGTGTTACGGAATTCTTCATCAACTGTTGTAAAAAATGTCTCTGAAATGTGTGCATGAATTTGTGCTGCAGAATTTTAATGAGTGCAAGTGGCACAAGGCTGTAGATTTTATTTTAGCGGCAGCCCCTTTGCAGGTTGTACGTGTGTGTACACAAAGTTAAAAGGGTATGAATTTGGGTTAATAGTAAACTTAAAAAAAACTGAGCTCTCTTGTATGCATATATGCGCTGTATTTTTATTGATGTGGTGGTGACTGTGCGGGCAAATAATGTATTAATGCATGGAATTTCAAGATGATTTCCTAAAAAGTTTGTTTTATTCAACATCTGAACAGAGATATAAGTGCCAAGTTGATGAAGGTGGTGATGATCATAGTTTTCCCTTGGCATTCATGCCCGTGTAGAGAATCGCCACCGCCGTTGAAGCCAGCCGTCGGCTCAAAACCGCATAATCAGTGGCTAAACACGTAAGTTTAGAATTTATTCGAAGGGCATGCACATTGCTCACTTGGACGTGCTCTGAGGATGGCGTTGTATAAGCGCGATCTGACAGATGGTTGACATGAAGAGGCGTTCTCTGTCGGTACAGAATTAAGCAGCTCTGCTGTTGAGCATTAAACACACAGCTGTTCTACCAACTGCTGCTATGGCTGAGCCAATGCGTTGGCCATCAATTTACACGTCCTATATTTACGCAATTTATCTGATTACACTTTGGTGTGCGCTTTGGGTGAGTTTTGTTAACGCTGCTGTAAAATGAGACCAGAGCGTGCGTGAAGCATTGAGCGGGGCAGACCGCTGCTCCCAATTGTAAGTCCGCGCGGCCTTACAACTGTCTACTGTTCACACGTCCAGACGGAGCTTGTGCGCTGCCTAACAAAAAGTCTGCATTGCAAAAACGTGCAGTTTTGAAAACAGAAAAAAAGTGTACTGCATAACCGGAATTATACATTCAGCAAAGTGAGCAGTGTGTATAGCATATGTATACACTATATATGTTGTACGTATACAAAACATGGTGTCCCTGCAATCCATTACAATGGCATTTAGAAATCTATCTTTGTCTCTTAAAAGTCATTTCGGAGCCAGTGAAGCGGTGTGGTGCTAAAGCCATAAATATTCTCCCAAGAACTGTCGACCTTTCAGTGTCCCGGCCACACCGTGATTTCCCATCTTGCCAGAGGCAGATGGGAAAAAAAGTCTCTTCAGTAATACATCGCCACGGTGTGGTGTGCTTGGCTGCTCTGGTCAAGGTTTGGTAAATGATGTGTTCAGCGCTGTATCGTCCGAAACCGCTTGTGGGTTACAAGGTTCGGTGTTTTACGGTGCCGTCGATTTAGCCGCAAGCCACGCGGCCTGAATTTACACTGCATCGTTCAATGGTGTGATTTACATGTGATGCCCCACAGTGCCACATAGCAATGGTGTACAGCACAGTATCTAAAGTGATATATGTTAAGGATGCAGCTGCCTCGTATTTTAGAAAATCGCTTTTTCCTATCTTTGTAACATGGCAACAGTCAAGCAGATTTGTATGAAATATACAGTGGGGTTTGTATTATGAGTTTCTGAGCTAAATGTAACGATGAGAGCATCGTCGTCCTACTTTAGTATTCGTACTTGTGCAAGGTATGAAGATAAACTGACATTAAGCTGCACTCGGCGATGGTGTCGCCTAAAAATCCATTGAGGAGAGCAAGGGAAATACAACCTCGGCTATCTTTCCATAGTTTTGACTCATCCGGCCTGGTGGCTCCTCCGCAGAGCGAGCGGCTCTCAATCGGAAGGTTTGTGAGTTCAAACACTGGTTGGGGTTTTGAATCAGCCCATCGCCTGTAAAATAGGTAACACTTTGTGGAGAAGTCAACAGTGGTTGTCCTATGGATAGCCTGCCCACCCCATAGCTGTCAACCCGTACGGTTTACCTGTATTCTTGTACAGGGAAATTGAGTTTTCAGTTCCATACGTCGCTACAGCCGTTTCAATAGGGCAACAAATGAACATGTTTGTGGTGTATTTGTTTGTGTTTCTCACTTGTTATGGGACTTTGTAGGATGAACTTTGAGATTGATAAAGGGGCACAGGGTGAGCAATAAGATCTGAATTGGTCTATAATACGGTAGGCACTGATACAGGGTTTACAGGTATGCCACCCCGCCATAAGAATGAGGAATTTTCACCTCTGGCTCGGTGCTATAAGTGGTAGACGGAGCACTGCCTCACTGCTCATTTGAGCAGGAAATCGCTTCGACTTTTAGTTTTGTCTCAAGAGCCTTGATTTTGACTCGTGCCAAACAAGACGCGGTGCAAGCAACCCGAAAAACACATCACAGAGCGAAACAGCACACCCGCGAAGCAATGGGATGTGTCCTCTATTACCCTCCTCCGTTCCCTATGGTTTTTCATTGTCAGCTGACATCAGGTGCGGCCACAGCACCCTTCAGGCCCCTGGCATCGCTGCAGTCGCCCAACTTCCCCGCGCAGCAGTTGGGGCCCTTGCTGCGACTGTGTGTGCTCGATCCCAACTTCATCGCCCTCGTCGAGCGTGTGGAGCAAGAGCTGACCAAGATCATCGCCGAGGATCCCTAAAGAGCTCCCGGGAAGTTTAATTTGCTCAATCAGTCCATTAGCATGATGAGGATGACGATGCTTTCCAAGCATTCGAATATGGGCCATAACCCTGAACCCGCATCCACACAAACCGCGGCAGATGCAGATACTGGATGATGCACAAGATTAAAAACTGCAGTGTACCGATTGTGGTCACCCAGAACGTAAAACGACTCAAGGCCCGCTGATTCACAAATATTCGAAGGAATCGTCACAGCAATACACCACTCATTATCTGGCTCAACCACAGTGTAAAATTATAGTTGTTGCTCAGCCATCCGAAGAAGTAATTCATCCTAAATGTAAGATCAACATATAGACGTGCATATACGTTTTCTAAATCCTGAATAATTAAGAGGAAGTTCGGATGCATGCAAGTGCAAGAACAGGTTTAGAATATATATTAATGCAAGAATGGACGCGTCTTACGTGCTCCCCTGGTAACATTTTGATGGAAGGTAGAGCGAATGATGTGGTGTACACCTCGTGATTTATATAAATTAATTGGTCCTCAATCTCTCATCATAGCTCATATCTTGTCACTCACAAATGTGTCCTTAACCTTGCATGTTGGGGAAGGACATTTGACAGTTGTTAAGCCTTACAATTAATGGTTTAATTTTCATTTAAAGCTTTCGTGACTGCAGGGATTCATATTCTTGGTTCTTTTGGTAAAGTCACGTAGAAGGGAAACAAAATAATAAAAAATATAAAACAATAAAATTCTCACGACGTTTCGACTGCAACACAAGCAATCATCATCACGTGTGAAAACCACAGCAAGAAAATTTGAAAAAAAAACGCCACTTTAAATTGTTCTTGCTGTGGTTTTCACACCGAATGATGATTGCTTGTGTTGCATTCGAAACGTCGTGAGAATTTTATTGTTTTATATTTTTATTTGATTGTTTTCCTTCTTCGTGACTTTACCGAAAGAACCAAGAATATAATTAATGGTTTATGCCAGTGGCATATGTTCAGCTGAGCTAAAACGATTTACTCGCCCCTCCACCACATATCCCCCACCCTCCACCACATATCCCCCACCCTCCACTTGGCGATTCGATAATTTGTCGCAATTGAGGATCACTTCAATAATTGGTTCATGTCATTTTCACCGCCTTGTTTGTACATTTTGGTGGCTTAATTAGCCGCAAGGTAACATCCACATATAATTAGCATAATTGGACAACATCCATTCGTACACACGTGCTCGATGCCTGTAATTTGTTATCCTTAATTATTGAGATTGCCGAATCAATGCCATCCTTCCACCCCCTGGTGATCGGTTGTTTTTTTTCTTCCATAAACTTCTCAGACGGCTCCATCTGTTGTTAATAGCTTATATTGCAGTTTGACGCGATGCGGTATTTCATCGTCGTTGTTAATCATCCCTTTCACGATGTTACATCGCAGATAATAAAAGCATGTCTGCCAAGTGGTGTGTTTACATTTGGGTAACTGCATAAGTTTAATTTTTAAGGAAATTACGCATGCGTAACGTGCGTTTCAGCAGCAAGATGTGTAACCCACTCACGTTAGTTTCAAGGTGCATTGAGGGAACAAACATAGTGTGTTTTTGTAGACTCGTGGCTATGAATAGTTAAGACTGGTATGCAGTGACGGTATTATTTATAGCAAAGTTAGACTAAGAATATTCCTGGTGTTGCAGTATGAATGTAGTGAACAAATCTTGGTCGTGCAAACAGATTCCTATCACACGTTTATGAAAAAGTACTTTGAACTTATTGCACATGCGAAAACGTGTTCACGTGCTCTTCGGTAATAGGTGTTGTGCAAAAGACAAGACACTCGTATTTTTAAACAAGAGCACTGCATTGTTAAAATCTTCCGCCCGTGTGGAAATTAGTGTTCCATTATTCGGATGTGAGATTATTTTTTCTCCAAAATAAAGCTCCCGAATTATTTTGTGTAGCTAGTACAATAATTATATTTTCAATGCCAATAATTCAAACCATTGAAGTGTTTTTTTTATTTCTCTTTTTTTGTTGTTACGAGATCACTAATGACATAGTCGGTGTTAATTTTAACTCTGTAGCCCATACCCCAGCATGTATGTAGCCAGTCACGTGTTCAGTGTGAGTGGCTTGTGCCGCACCAGTGCCAGCTGTCTTACTGTTCGGACGTGTCCAATTTTAGACCCAAGTCATTTCGTGAAGCTCGCGAACCCAATGCAGCTTTGTGCAGTTTGCGAACCGAGTTATTGACAAATGTGCTGAATGTAAGCAGCTGTGTGTGGCGTCAACTTCGTGTTGGTTCCTTGAAGATCAACTAAAATTACCCAAACGGGACGTTAGGTTAGACCTTAGCGGTGGTGTGTAGAAGTACAGTCCGCAGCTTTTGTGTGGCGAGCCTGAAAACTCAGCTGAACTTTTTGCGACTCTGCGGCTATCTTGGAAATCGTCGCCGGGTTCCCGACTGTAGACGACTTTCGAGGTCCGCGCAGGTACACGACGATTGGTATGAACGAGACGGATGTGATGCCCAGCGTGCGGAATGAGAGGCTCGTCGGTGTGAAGGTGCATGCGGTCGTCATCGGAGCGGACTCCTATATTCCTCTCACGGAAATCCGAAACAAGGTAAGCAGGCGAATGAATGTAACGTGTTTTCTTAAAAAGAAAAAAAAACTTGATGCGTTTTTTTTGGGGTTGCAACGCATTTTGTTCGGCATGATGACACGTTTGGCTCCACATGAGTGGAGATTCTTTGGACATCAATGCTGAAACAAGCGGCACAACCCAAAAATACATCGGAGAGCTGTACACTTTCGCTTACTAAATTGCAGGGCCATGATGCTGACCGCTAGGGAAGCCTTCATCCGGCAGTGGATTGATCACGATTGATGGTGATGCACTTGTGCTGCTAATCCTGCTGCGTTGTAGCGAGACGAATGTGCGACTGCAGTTAATGTGCCATTTAGCATGGAATATAAAAAAAAAACATCTTGGCGCGTGTCTTGTGTTTGGTAGCAGAATTATTTTATTCACAGTGGGTCAATATAAGTGCATTATTTATCAACGCGCATAACCAAGTTGTACGTCTATTATATTTAAATAAATTGTGCACTTGGGACAAGAAAACATACAACAGATTGTACAGTATTTTGTTTAAAAGTTTGCTGGCGATGCCAAGTTCGTTACTTTGTACCGGACACTGCAGTTACTGCACGTTGATGAACTTTACTCTGCAGGTTTTATTCAAGTCTTCAGCACGCATTTATCAGAAATGTACACAGATGAATCTGAAGGTATGTGCGGGAACTTTCAAACAACGCAGTTCTGACTTTGGTCAGTCGAAAAAATGTTTACGGGGTGGTCCATTTTTCTTTAAACGTATATACAGTACTATAATCTGTATCTTGCAGTCCATGTTTCAAAATATATATCCCCTCCCCCCCCCATTTAGAGTATCATTACCTGTCCTAGCCTGCATTTTAAGCACTTGCAGAAACTCGGAGTGGTTGAGTTCAATGCCAAGACCTGTCGAATGATCAGTAAGGTAAGTAGTACCTGCACCGCCGGTGACATCAACCTGCACTCTGCACATGCACAACGCCCATCTGTTGTGACGTTTGTCCGATTAAGGTTATTGCTGTAATTGCAACAGCTGTTCAATTTGTCCCTGCAGTTGGAGGCTGAGGTTCTCATCCGCTCATTCAGAGACCACAATGTCATCACATCAATGGCATCTCGACTGCAGCTGCAGAAACAGCAGGATCAAACCCACGATGGAGCGCCAGCTGTAGACCCGCGTGTGAAGGCAGCTCGCTCCACACGACCGCCAGACAGCCTGGGAAGTGGCCAGCTGCTACCTGAAAGTGTTGGATTGCGAGATGATGTGCTGAGAAGTAATGCATTTTGTTACTCCTTTAAGCCACTCCTGGTTGAATGCCTGCCCACAATGTCAGTCAAAGGGGGTGGAGGGTTAACTATAACCCACCATGGCGGTCAATGCGGGTTGTTGAAGGTGGGCCGAGGTGGGTGGAGGGGGGGTGATGACGGTACGAGTTCAGCTGTCGCCCGCCTTTGATAGGCATGGCAGGGAATTGGAATTGTGTCACTGGGTATAGAGCACACGGTGAGATAACCACTCTGCCACCAATCCCATGATAACAAGTGTTGGGTGATATCTCTCTTGGTGGGCCGAGGCCAACGGTTAAAATTATACTTTTAATTATTTGCTCCGCTCGAGATTATATAAATTGTCACAGTTGGCTTAAAGGAAATTAAAAACAATTGTGAATGTGGCACCTGTAGTGGAAGCAGGAGTCACGTGCACCAATACAATTGTATACAAATCAAAAATATTAAATTCCTACATGCAAGGTGTGATGTATACATCACGACCACAAAACATTTTACCGCACAGTTGGGGCTGTACATCTCCGCTGTGTTTTCGGGTTGTCCCGCATGTTTTCCACAATGTCCTAACGTTTTAGCTGGGAGCTTTTGGAGGTACTAAATTCAGGAATGGTGAATCTCGAAAACACATCGGAGATAAAAAAAAGAGTATACATTTCTGAAACCAAGAATATCAACAGGAGTCAGCAGGTCAATGGGCAAAAAGCGGAAGTGAAGCTGTTCTTATGCACCCTTCTGCTTCGTATAGATTAATAACAACAGATTAAAGATGGCATTTTACATTTGTTATCCACTCAATTGTCTGTTCAGTAGCAGAGTGGATCTCGTCCATGCCTCCGTTAAAGGAGTGAAGACAGCAGAAGCGGCGGAGGGTTTACAATGTGGTCGGTGGTTTGGGATTCGTGGCCACACTCGCAGCACGCCACATCTTTGATGGCGTCATGTGCACAGTGAAACAGGCCATGGGGAGCATCTCTTTGGTTTTCCAGCTCCGAGAGGAGCCACGCTCCGCGGAGGACCTCGCAAGGGCTTAAACACCGGGCCATATTACATTCCGAATACAGGGACTCCTCTACTTACGAACGAGTTAGGTTCCAGAGGTCTGTTCGTGAAGTCGATTTGTTCGGAAATCCAACTTTACACCTATCGATTCCAAACGTGTTGTAGCATGGACACGGGGAATGGCTTTAAAAGTTGTATAATCTCCTGCGGATGCCACTGATTCTTCACGTTCTGCAGATGTAAATGCCACCCACCGCCATCTATTGCGCGGCGGTAACGTACGACTCTCGGTCTGAACAGGCAATTGGACGTACGTACAGGTTTTCTTTGAAAGTTCGTAAGTCGAATGTTCGTAAGTAGAGGAGTCCGTGTCCTGGATAAACATCACTGGTGGCAGGATACGAGAAGGACACCTCAAGTGGAAACATCCTGATTGCTCTTTATTGAACGATAAGCCAACCACCGATGACATTCCATCAGACGGCGTTCATCAATTGGCAGTACTCTACCTGTCCCTGCGCGTTAACCCTGTTTGGGATTTGAACTAATAAATTCAAGAACAAGTATTCTGTTCATAACCCCTTTTTCAAAGCTTTATATGTTATGGGGTTTAAGTTTGGAATCTGAGTGTCTGTTATTGGTTGCAAAACTGGCCTACATGTTATGCTATGCCCATACCATCATTCGTTTTAATGTTAAGAGCACCATATTTTATTTTAAAATAATTAAAATCAAGCAAACCTCCAGTGCCATTTGAACATAATGAAAATATATTTATATGCGGACCAAGATTACATAGACTTACGAGAATAACGGTCAGATTTTGTTGATGCGTCGTTACTTCGAAGCAGTGGGCAGTGTTTTGCGTACACGTGACTGATTAATCCTGCACGCAAACGCGTTTTGTTTGCAGTACCGGCCCCGGCAGCTGCAACAGCTGTCACCAGTTCAACATTCAAGTACTGCTCACCTTCCCTGAACCTTCTTACACTTCCTGTGCAGAGCTGCGGGGACGACGGGGAACAAAACGGCACCTTTGTTGCGAAGTGGGTTTGATATCAGTGGTAGCAGATCGCGCGATATGCGAATACCACAGTAAAGCGATTTTGAGTATCCACAACGAAGATGAAACGTCTTACGTTTGCACTTTACATACCTCATATTTGAAAAGGACATCCCTGCAAGGCTAATGCCTAAATCAATGGCCACGATGCACTTGCATAGCGAGAATATGAAACGCGATGTGGGTTTTCCCATGCATTTAAACCAAATACATGTAATAGGCAGGGCTACACAGGGCACACAAAGGGGCTGGAGTTCGATTCCCGTAACATGGCTAATATGAGTGGGGTGTGATTTGTTGGAAATGGCCCTGGGCACGCCCTTCACTCGCCCATCCTGACCAGAATACCTACGATCACACAGGAATGTCTGTCCTTAACGCTCGTGACGTCCCTCCACATCAAACAGCCCCCCTCAATAATCATTAACAGGTGACGTCCTCCACATCAAACAGCCCCCCTCAATAATCATTAACAGGTGACGTCCTCCAAATGAACACCCCCCCCCCCTTCATAATAATTAGCGGTTGACGTTACTCCACATGGGAGGGCGAGGCGCCTCCTCCCCCCTCCTTGGCGTCAACTCACAACCCTCACTACAAAAGCAGAATCCTCACGTCACGTGATCTCACCCTCACTACAAAGGTAGAACCCTCACGTCACGCGATCTCCGTAACGCTGTTGAGACATCGAAGTAAAAAGGACGTCATGATGAACAAGGGATTATAACCTTAAATAGCAAATTGCACACGCATTAATGCAATGAATATATCACGTCGCGGTCTGCTTTTCGCTTGCAACTTTCAGATCTACTGCAATACACCCGTCCTTGGACGGGCAAAAGGCTAGTGAGTAGTTAAGGAGAGTCGAGCGACCTCCACCACCGACAAGGGATGGGGGCAGGATTCACATATCGGTGGATTTACAGGCTGTACATTACATTATACATACATAGAACTGGTTGCAGTAATGTACTATAAAGCAAAAAAAAACTAGCTTGCTTTGCTTGAAAAATTGTTACGGATTTTTTTTCCCATCACGCAGGTTCTACATTTCAGGTTCAGCCTCGACGTGCATCAGCTGCGACGACTGCGGCACATTTTTCTCTCCGGCGGCGTTTGCCACTCACTGGCATGACAAACAGGGAAGGTCCCTTGCGACCAAAGCGGTGCCCTGAAACTCGCAACCGATAACCCCACCACGGAGCAACGGCAAATGTGGCTACGTTTCCAGCTTCAGAGGAAACGTCCGACCTCGTGCTCCCCCATCGGAGGACTTCCCGCAGAAGGATTTCTTCCCATGAAATGCATGTCGATGGATTTGTCGGGGGATGCCGTGGAGGGCTCGCCTTGCAAGGTCTCGCGGCCCTGCTCGCCGCCTGTCAGCAGCCAAGGAAGCGTACGTGACACGGCGCTGGAGAGGAGCCAGGGTCCGTTGGGTACCCATGTTGTTCGCAATCGATCAATCAGAAATAAATTATTGTGCGACTTTGGATTAGAGGTGGTTAAACACCATCTCTTGGAAGAAAGAAAACCTGAACCGGTCACCGATTCACCTTCAGGTTCATTTACAGCTGATAGCAAATCTAACGAAGAGGCCAATTGCGCAGAAAAAAGCAATTCTCGTGAAGAATTTGGTTCAAGTTGGAAGGAGGACGCGAGGGACGAGATGACTGCAGTAATTTCAGATTTGCCATTACCTGACAGTGACAGTAAGGACTGGATGTGTCCCAGCAAAAGTGCAATGTTGCCAAGAAGATGTGCGAGCACTGGAAACATTGCCGCTATTTACCCTACAGAAAATCATGGGAACGCTATATTTGTGGACACTGAATTTTCACACCTTGGTAAGCAACCGCACCCCAAGTGTAATTCTAGCTTCAGCTCCAAGCTTGCAGCCAGCTCCAGGCCCTGTTTGGTTAAGAGTGCCAACACTGTGGTCAAAGGTGGCATTCAACTTCACAGGAATGGGTCAGCAGAGTGCTCCGTCAATGCGGACACTTATCGTGGAGAACTCGGCCAGGTGAACCGTGAAACTGGCGAGTCTAAACACGTCATGGCAGGCGTCTCTCACTACACTGGAGAAAAAAACGTAGAAATATCCACTCCAGACGAACATGTAAATGAACACGAAGAGCAAAGTGCCACAGCCCATACGGCCACTTCCTGTAAAGTGGGTCTGGGAGAATTCAACACCACCAATGCAACAGTGTTGTCCAGGACTCCAGGGAGGTGCCACACAGAGGGCGGTACAGATGTCACGGACGGTAAGATCATTTTAACGCCAATTTAATCGGTGTTATGCTGCTTTTTTTTAAACGCTTAAGATTACATTGCATGCATATTACCAAAAGTGTCCACATTATACTTTAGAGTACATTGAAAATGCACGTTTAAATATAATGCCCATTGCTTTCAGATCCCATCAATTTGCTGAAGGCTGCACATACTCTGCTAGGAATAGCAATAACTCAGCTGCAGGAAGGCAAGTATCATTTTTACTTTGCACCATTTCACATACAGTAAACACACCTCTTGCTTACACTATCTTGAGACCAGTTTACCCCGTCCACAAAGCAAACCAAGGTGTTGGACCACAGCAATCGACGTGCCAGTAAACATTCCATGCTATATTTTGTGCTGCCAATTTTTTTTTTACCAGGGGCTACAGTTGCATTTTTTTTAGCTTACTGTTTGTGCATACAGCCAAAGAATGGAAAACTATGTACGAGAAGGAACGGTGGCTGCGTATTCAAGCGGAAAAGAAGAGTGAGATAAAGGTGACTGAAGATGTATACACTGCCCATGAAAACCATAAACAAATCCATTAATAAACACACTACACCTGTGTCGGTAACCCTTATTTTCTCTGCCATGCAACCAGGGGCGGAGCCTCGGGGGTGGGCTTAGCCCCCCCCCCTGAAATTTTGGGAAAGTCGGTAATCGGGAGAACCGGGTATCCGGCTGCTGCAAAATGCTGCAGGCTGCCACCTTGTGCTGCCCTGCAGGCTGCTTCAGCGGCAGCCTTTCGAACTTATTAGCCACATCAGCGGTTCCGACCTATTAATAAACTCCGCGTTCAAATCCAATAAAATTTGTTTTATACAGTTGTGGCGCCCATTGGAAAACACACTGGATATCTCAGAATATTGAAGTCAGACCCCCCCCCCCCCACCCCAGTGAAAATCCTGGCTCTGCCCCTGCATGCAACATGTAACCCAACAAGGTTAACATTTAAATCTAGCACTTGACATGTTATTGCTGTAATCTGGGTACATTTGCATATTTATTAAAAGGCTCAAATCTTTACAGTACTGTAATAGTTTTATCATTTTTATGTATGCAGTTGTTATATTAACAGTAGTATGACTGGTCGATAACATTTAAAAGATGTTCGGTAACTGTAAAATGGTGTGCGATTTTTTTTTTACAAGTCTATAGGTATATTGACAACCACGGCAAAAAAATGGATATTGATTTTTTTTATCATGTCAAGACTCACAAGTGATGTTACATTAACCACGTGCAGCTTTAACGTGTCTGTAATTTTACAACTAAAACAGAGGGAATCAGCCAATAAAGAATAGGCTTAAAGACGTGTTTTGAGTCCATTTTTCATGCACCCAAACCTACAATGCCCATCCCTCATTCAATTACACCATCTTCTCATGTACGTAAAGGGTAGTTCCGTTGCCGCTAACGCAACTATCCTTGACATACCTGGGTCCAAGGATATACAACACAACGTTCAAAGTTGAACCCATTTTACTGTCGGGTAAATAGACTAACAGAATTCACATTTTAGCACAATTATATTTTGCAGTACTTTTAACCAGAATCCTGCAGTTTAAACAGCTTCAACATCAGTATAAAGAATGCAAAGTCATACAATGAACCCTGAAAAGTTAAACTTCAATTTGCTTTACATAATGCTTATAATGGAAACAGAAGCTGATAAAAGTTGGCTATTTTATTTAATTTGTACAATTACACCGTCTCCAGCAGGTTACACAAGCCCTAATGGGTGACATTGGAAGTGTACTTTATTTTTGCTTGGGACAGTGGTGCACTCGGATATAATCGCATTAAGTTAAAATGAAATTGTGTGTTTACTTGACCTTTATTTCTATTGTGCAGCAATACGCAAACGAGGGAGTTCACAGCCAAATGTAAACACTCACAATGCACTTCCCAATGGCAAATTATTTTAAATGGGGAGAAGACAATTTTCTGCAAGGACTTAGTAAGTGCATGAGCAGCCCATTTCCGATTACTGTGGTCAACAGCTTTATCCTGCACTTACCATTGTTACGCAGAACTAACAAATTACACCTAAAAAGTTTGAGATGTGTATTCTACAAGCCAAAGAGAACCAAGCAGCACATTCTTTCATCATAATCAAACTATGTCATTGAAAATAACAAGGTCATGTGTAATAGAAGTTTTTTTTTTATAACGGAACATTTTTCCTCATCACAATCAAGGCTTCTTATTGAAGACGAGGCTTAAACATTGCAGCTTCTTCACGTATCTTGTATACTATTCACCGCAGAAGCAGAGAAGAATCTTCGAGTGAGCATCCAGAAGAGGAAAAGGTTTTCACTTCAGTTTTCTGTGACGAAGCTACTTAACTCATGCCTACATTTTACATGAAGCAATACTTGGAGTGAAAGTGTCCTCAGCAGATTCGGGGAAACCTAAGGGAACTGTACATGGTCCATTCAATAACAAGGCGGGTGGGGGCTCCTCAAACTAGCCATCCTCTTTTGGCGGTGTGAACCATCCTGCAAGGAAAACATTGCATGGCATTGTCAAGAGCCGACAGTGGAGACGAAGGGGTGCGTATTTATTGCGATGGGATTGTAAAAAAAAAGTTTAATCCTACCATTTTTTTCGTGAATCTGGACGAGGGATTTGAATGACTGCTGTGCTCTAGCCAAGCTGTATTGGTTCTGTGAAAGAAATCCATTCTGGTTTTTACCCAAAGAAAATGGATTAAAACACATTACTGGTTGCAAAGACAAGCGCACGCAAATCAACATACACGTAGAAAGTTTTAATGTTTGCACTGTAAAAAGCGTGTAAACTAGAGTGGCTTACCGTATTTGCTCCAAACTGAATGCGTGCCTTGCCCTTCACAAGGGTTGCACTGATCTGCATTATGACCGACTCGATGGAATATGCACTGCTCCAACCCTTTCACACAGGACACAACAATTATAAATAAACTGCACAATTTAAAGTACAGCACAGTAGCACATTATCCAAGATGCACCACTGATTCAACAAAGGGTATAATAGTACATTACACAGTTATGTTAATGGTGCATGTTAAAGGTTCTCGGGTAAAATAGTATTTTTATTAAACAGCAGAATACTTTAAATCATGGCTATGATTGAAGTCATTTAAATGTGATGTATGGTGTTGCTTGAGTAAACCGATTAAAGTATTACCTGTTTTGTCAAAAGTTCCATACATATTGCACCTCCCCCAAGAACATATCTGGAGATGGCAAACATTCGATCAAAGGAAATTAAATGTGCAATGCATTTTAACGAAACAGATTGCATGTACAATATATATTTTAGCCAACTTACAACCCTATTGGCAATACTTTAAAATTGAAAACGTCAAATGGAGAAATACAGAATGTGATTTGTACAAGAATATTTGTTGTAAGCGATCGCCACGTTGAAAATGTTTTGTTCAGCCTTGGTAGTGGATGTCTATAAAAATGCAGTAAGATTATGGGTCAGCTAAATTGTGAAGGATTTTATAAGAATTGAAAATCTTACCCGCCAGTCAAGATTGGAGACACCACTCTCACAAAAGGTGGGTCAAATGGAAAATTATCCTGAAAAACATGACATTCAGTTATTGATAACACTCAAATATATTTGTGTATATAATGATCATGTTAACCCCCAATGAATAACACAGCTTGATCCCAATTGTGATGCAGCACAGACACTCAAACTTACTTTAAATGAAAAATTCATAGAAATGTGACATTTGCCCTCTTTCTCCTTCATCACCTGAAGGTCACTGTGCAAAGCACTGTCTGGGTCAACTCTACACAGGAGTGGGAAGAGCAAAATGGCAGAGTAATTAAACCAGAATCTCTTAGTAGCAATCACCCTTTCACATCTTATCGATCACGAACTTTGAAGGTGTATTCAGCATGCATAATTCAATCGAATGCATTTCTGAAAATTAACTGCCAACTAACCATGACTCAATGATAACTGTAATTTGCTACATTCATTTTTGTATTGTGTATGTTTGTCAAATCTTCAATCAACCATCTGTGCCATACCGACATTTATTGGCGAGCTAGCTGCCAAAGGGAAAGACCAATACTATAAAGAATTTTAAATGCTTGTTTACAATGTTACCAAATAATTTCAATATGGAGGCACAAATAAGAAAAAGACTTACTTCAGAATTTTCACATTCCATTCATAGAGACTGTCATTTACAAGGTCAACTGCATAGTTTCCTGTGAAAAGTGCACAAAATTGTGTGAACCACAGTATACGAAATATTATTTATAAAAAAATACAAGGTGGATGTGTTTTTAAATACCTAGCAATACCAAATTACCTGCTTTGAAGCTTGCAGACCTATAAATATCCCTGAGCTCTTTCATCAGTCTGTCAGTAGCCTGGACTGAGCCAGATACCGTTCCCTGAAAACAACATTTATAAAAGCGAGGCCATTAGGTATGCACAAAACGTAGTGTTCAACCAACACAACATTTAAAACATGTCAATAGTACACTTAAACATTTAACCCTAGGATGCGGCCCTCAAATACTCCACACTGGCTGGGTCAGGAAGACCTGTGTAAGCAATGATATGTTTGCTTACAAAAGATGACCGACTGATCCCTTCGCGTAATACGAGGTTAAGCATCTTGTATAAGGTCAGGCAACAGTCTATCATACACAATACCAAAGACATGTCAAGTCTCTTTGACCCACGGTTGCATCCTAGTGTTAAAGCTACAATAGTACTGCAATAGCAAAAGCGTAAAACGTACATTTAGGTAGTCTCTGCGCTGGTTCTGTCGGATCTTCTCTAAGACTTCCAAATTCTCTTTTTCAATCCCATCCTCGTCAGTCTTTTTCTCTTCTGGCGGCTCATCCTCTTTCATCTCATAGTGGTCCATGTCATCATTGTCCTGTCCAGTCACATGTAACAGAATGCGGACATGAATATGATACATTTTATACTCTAACCTTTAGACTTTTTATAAAATCATTTGCCAATAACTTAATGGGAAGTAATCCTAAACATTGGCCGAACTGTGTCTTTAATGGTCAATTTAAGTTTTTATTTAAAACATTTCCTTAAAAAGGCACAGCCACTAAAATATAAAGTATGCTCTAAGGAAAATTAACACGTTGTAATTGAGCAATTGGTACACGTGTTTTGGGAATTGACATAACTGAAATATAAACGAGATTCACATTACAATATACACATCTTGCACTGTCCACATAGAACATGCAGTTCCAATGACAGTTAATTAAAAAATGGTAAACATAACCAATTTATCTTACTGCTTTCTAAACACTTCACCTCATTTTGATTTAAAGCTTTCGTGACTGCAGGGATTCATATTCTTGGTTCTTTCGGTAAAGTCACGTGACTTTACCGAAAAAACCAAGAATATACTTTACCTCATGTTAGTCATGCCAGACTGAATTTTGCTCTGCATTATAAGACGTGAACATTCTTTCATTTTTTGCATCACTGTTTGATACCATTGCTATTTTCTACATATCAGAAGCTTAATTTAGACTGGAGGAATCCGATGAGCTATGAATATCTTTCACAGATGTCCAGTATGGGCAGGTCAGCAGGTTACATATATTGGCATATCCATGTTCAAGCTGCAAAATGTTGTTTAAAATAGAATAATGTACATGCCAATGTGGAGCACATACAAAAAATAAGCCTCATCCATTAGCTATTTCCCCTTCTATTAATGTGTCCTTCCCACGACCACTTCTGGTCCATTTTTGAGACTTTAATGAAAAGGTTTATCTTAGTGTCCCTCCTGGCTGCGAATATGAATAAACAATTTCTTATTTCAGTTCTCACTGCCATGCTAAATGTACTGATCACTCGTATCTGCTCTTTTTGCCTCTCTTTACAATCATAATGTTGTAGTGGTTTTCCTTCATTAGAAGTTGGTTACAGTCTTCATAGATGTGGTCAACTTCTGCATCTTGATGGCAGAGTGGGATTTCTAAGTCTTTGCAGGAATCGAGCATAGAGCACTTTAGATAGTGTAGTGCATTTAAGAGTAAGGCCCTAGAACGACAAGATAAATATAATTGGCATATACTCTCCAATAATATGAGCACTAGTGGATTCCATGGCATTATCTGGAAAGGAATTACACTCTAGTCATACCTCTGCCATATCTTCATCCTCTTCGTCTGAGCTCATGTTTTCATCCGTGGTACTCTACATCGCAGAAAAAAATATAGATTGTTTATTTAATTTCATGCACCAACTTCAGTTGGATGCTAATATCCATATCTTTAGTCCCGGCTTGGCTCTGGTTTTGGCCACGAACAGCTCGGTTTGAGCTGCTCAGTTCCTTGCGAAGACACAAGCGAGTGCGTCGTGGCTCGGCTCAGCTCATGTATATCCTGAATGTGGTTGGGCCTACACCCAGCGCCAACTAAGTACGATTTTGCGTTGGCTCATTTGAGCCGACGCCAAGCCTGATTTTAGCCATGACAAAGAGTATGGGCCTAAGCCTACAAAATTATACAAATTGACATGGCACACACAATTCTTGACATCTGCAGGCATCTACATTGGTAGAAGTGAGGTTTAAATAGTGAAATGCATCTTTATAACGTGACATTTTTTTAACATTGCCAAGTTGTTGTCTAATTCATATGTAAGACGAGAGATAATGTAAATACACAAATGAAAGCTCACCTGCTCACTGGGGAGAGGCTGATCCAGCATTTCAATGTCGGGATGCTGCGGCAAGCCACACAGCTTGCACAAGTCTGTCAGCAACCGCTTCAGCTGCTGCAAAAGCTGCCAAATCATGTGTACGTAACGAACACACATTAGTCCACGAGTATGGTTACATTAGTCTCTTACAGAATTAACGTCCGCGTTCGAACTTCTACCGAAAGAACCATAGAAGACAACAGTCATTCTTATCGACCCCGACTGTTTTATGTTTTGTACTTTATTTTAAAAAAAATCTGTACTGCATACAACCAAAAAAAAATCCCCACAAACGTACCAAAGTTCTGCTTGAGTTTATGCTGCCGATTTTCTCAAGTACAGCAGCCAAGTGAGGGTCATCTGATTCTGCAAACCATATCGGTGCCGAACTCGGGTAACCTTCCTATTGACAAACAAGTTTGGGATGGGTGAGCACAAGGACACGTGTTATGCAAGCCGCATTGTATAACGACGCTTACAACCAAATAATACTGTTCAAAGGTCTTAACGATTCCACATCAGTACACACCCCGACACGCTGTTACTGTATAGCCCACTCTATATGCAAAATTTCCACTTGAACTTGTGTGCGTGGGTGCAAACAGTATGCGTTGCGATTACGCTGCTGTTGCACTGCCATTCCCAAGCTCGGTTTATGCTGATGGCTTAAATGCAGTTCGTCATTTGGATGGCGATGTCAAGTCCCGGCAAGCTCAGCAAGTTTGTTTACGCTGTGAGGGGCGAGTCCAGGGTGTCCCCTCTACCGCCATACCAACCCCCCCCCACCGCCCCAACTCGTGTTCAAACCAAGGGGACTGCTGGTCAGACTAGACATGTCGGGGTGGTGTTTCACACCAGGCAGCCACGCACAACACCCAGGCGCTCGGCCACTAAAGCTACAGTAATAATATTATAAAATGGAAAACGACTGCCGGCTGGGCATGGTGACATCACCACCGGAGAGAACAGTCTGTTGTTCCTGCTGCTGGTTTTGGCGTGACGCACTTGTAAAAAAAAATTATTGGAGATGATAGCCGCGCTACGAGCCAGTCTCCGTGCTCGGTTGCGTAAAGCACGTCAAGTGTCACGGGGAAGTCGACTTTGACATTCGCAGCTGTCAAATAAGGCAGCTAAAAAACAGTCACCCACTCCCCAAAACAATATGGTGTAATCGACCACTGCCTCTACGGATACCCTACGTATCACAACCCCTACACGCACACACCTATAAAAACACATTAACCGGATAAATCGCAATTGGAATACGAAAAAAACCCCAATATAAATACGAACCAAACAAAAACGGCGCTGTACCAATAATTCCCATTTAAAAAGCTCCCTCCTTTCCCTGTGCATGCACGTAGCGGCCTACACCGTCGCGCCGCGCCAGCGGCCTCGGCTAGCGAACGCGGCCGGGGTCGTGCGCTCCCAGGGCGGGGTGGGGGGGGGATGGAGGAGCGCAGAACCGAGGCGGGGCGGCGACGTCGCCCCTTCGTCCCCGGCGCTCGTCCCCCCTGCTCGGCGCTCTCCCTCGCTCTCACCGTAATGGTGCAGTGGACGACGAGCGGGGCGGACGCGCCGCTGAGGAAGTGGCACGCGAGCTCGTCCACGCCGCCGCTCACGATCCGAAAGCGCTCGTGGCTCTTGTCGAAGATGGACTCGAGCAGCTTCAGCTCCTGTTTCAGCGATGCCAGAGACATCTTCTGAGCATTTCTGACAACAGATAAGGATAAAACGACGACGAAGAGAGAGATGATGTTTTTTGTGGTGGTGAGGGGGTTGGTTGGCTGGTTGGGGGGGGGGGGAGACGAGGCTGAGCGCGGCTTCGCGGAGCCCTCCCTAGGCCTCCTCCTTCATGGGGAAACTTTCCTTTTGTCCAATATGGCGGCGCGGGAGAGAGAGCAGCCCCGGCATGCACCGCGCGGGTACTTGACGGGGAGCGTGAAGGGGGGTGGGGGGAGGGAGAGCGTGGGACTCACACACTCACTTATACACTCACTCTCTCACTCACACTCTCACTAATACACTCACTCTCTCACTCATACACTCACTCTCTCACTTATACACTCACTCTCTCACTCACACTCTCTCACTAATTCACTCTCTCACTCATACACTCACTCTCTCACTCACACTCTCTCACTAATACACTCACTCTCTCACTCATACACTCACTCTCTCACTCATACACTCACTCTCTCACTCTCACTCATACACTCACTCTCTCACTCACTCACACTCTCTCACTAATACACTCACTCTCTCACTCATACACTCACTCTCTCACTCACACTCACTTATACACTCACTCACACTCACTTATACACTCACTTATACACACGTATACACTCACTCTCTCTCACACTCACTTATACACACTCACTCACTTATACACACTCTCTCACTTATACACACTCTCTCACTCACACACTCACTTATACACACTTATACACTCACTCTCTCACTCACTCTCCCTCACTCACACTCACTTATACACACTCACACTCACTTATACACACTCTCTCACACACACTCACTCACACTCACTTATACACTCACTTATACACACTCTCTCACTCACACACTCACTTATACATACTTATACACTCACTCTCTCACTCACTCTCTCTCACTCACTTATACACACTCACTTATACACACTCTCTCACTCACACTCACTCACTCACATTCACTTATACACACTCACTTATACACACTCTCTCACACTCACTCACACTCACTTATACACACTCTCACTCACTCACACTCACTTATACACACTCTCTCACTCACACTCACTTATACACACTCTCTCACACACACTCTCTCACTCACACTCACTTATACACACTCTCTCACTCACTCTGTCACACACACTCTCTCACTCATACACACACTCACTCACACTCACTTATACACTCTCTCTCACTCACACTCACTTATACACACTCTCTCACTCACACACACACTCTCTCACACTCACTCTGTCACACACACTCTCTCACTCATTCACACTCACTTATACACACTCTCTCACTCACACTCACTCACTCTCTCTCACTCACACTCACTCTCTCTCACACTCTCACTCACACTCACTTATACACACTCTCTCACACTCACTCACACTCACTCATACACTCACTCATACACTCACTCATACACTCACTTATACACACTTATACACTCACTCACACTCTCTCACTCACACGCACTTATACACACTCTCTCACTCACACTCACTCTCTCTCACTCACTCTCTCACTCACACTCACTTATACACTCACTCTCTCACTCACACTCACTTATACACACTCTCTCACTCTCACACTCTCACACACACTCACTTATACACACTCACTCTCACACTCTCTCTCACACTCACTTATACACTCACTCTCTCTCACTCACACTCTCTCACTCATACACTCACTCTCTCACTCACACTCACTCACGCTCACTTATACACTCACTCTCTCACTCACACTCACTTATACACACTCTCTCACACTCTCACACACACTCACTTATACACACTCACTCACACACCCTCTCACTCACACACTCTCTCACTCACACTCTCTCTCACTCACACTCTCTCTCTCTCACTCACACTCTCTCACACTCACTCTGTCACACACTCTCTCTCACACTCACTCACTCACACCCACTCTCTCACTCACTCTGTCACACACACTCTCTCACACTCACTCACACTCACTCTCTCATTCACACTCTCACACACTCATACACTCACTCTCTCACTCACACTCACTTATACACACTCTCTCACGCACTCACTTATACACACTCTCTCACTCACTTATACACACACTCTCACTCACTCACACTCTCCCACACTCACACTCTCTCACTCACTCTCACACTCACTCACGCTCACACACTCTCACACTTAACGCTCACTCACACTCACTCACTCTCAACACTCTCATTCACACTCACTCACTCTCACACTCACTCTCTCACTCTCACACTCACTCTCTCTCACTCACTCACTCTCACACTTACTCTCTCACTCACTCTCACATTCTCTCACTCACTCTCACACTTACTCACGCTCACTCTAACACTCACTCTCACACTCAACACTCACTCTCACACTCACTCTCTCACTCACTCTCAACACTCTCTCATACTCACTCTCACACTCACTAACCCACTCTCACACACACTCTCACACTCTATCTCACACTCACTCTCACACTCAACACTCACTCTCACACTCACTCTCACACTCACTCTCACACTCACTCACTCTCACACTCACTCTCACACTCACTCACTAACTCACTCACTCACTCTCACACGCTCACACTCACTCTCACACTCAACACTCACTCAACACTCACTCTCTCACTCACTCTCACACTCACTCACACTCACTCTCACACTCTCTCACTCACTCTCACACTTACTCTCTCACTCACTCTCACACTCTCTCACTCACTCTCACACTCACTCACGCTCACTCTCACACACTCTCACACTTAACGCTCACTCACACTCACTCACTCTCAACACTCTCATTCACACTCACTCACTCTCACACTCACTCTCTCACACTCACTCTCTCACTCACTCACTTACTCTCACACTCTCTCACTCACGCTCACATTCACTCACTCTCACACTCAACACTCACTCTCACACTCACTCTCTCACTCACTCTCAACACTCTCACTCACACTCACTCTCACACTCACTCTCTCACTCACTCACTCTCTCACTCACACGCTCTCACTCACACTCACTCTCGCACTCACTCACTCACTCTCACACCCTCACACTCACTCGCTCACTCTCACACTTACTCTCTCACTCACTCTCACACTCTCTCACTCACTCTCACACTCACTCACGCTCACTCTCACACACTCTCACACTTAACGCTCACTCACACTCACTCACTCTCAACACTCTCATTCACACTCACTCACTCTCACACTCACCCTCTCACTCACTCACTTACTATCACACTCTCTCATTCTCACACTTCCTCTCTCACTCACTCTCACACTCTCTCACTCACTCACTCTCAACACTCTCTCTCACACTCACTCTCACATTCACTCACTCACTCTCTCACTCACACTCACTCTCTCACTCACTCAATCTCTCACTCACACGCTCTCACTCACACTCACTCACTCACTCTCACACCCTCACTCTCACACTTAACACTCACTCAACACTCACTCTCTCACTCACACTTACTCTCACACTCACTCACTCTCACACTCACTCTCACACTCACTCTCACACTCAACACTCACTCTCACACTCACTCTCAACACTCACTCACTCTCAACACTCTCATTCACACTCACTCTCACACTCAACAATCACACTCACACTCTCACACACTCACACTCAGCACTCGCACACTCTCTCTCTCACTCAACACTCTCACTCACGCACTCACCCTCACCACTCTCACACTCACTCACTGTCTCTCACACTCACCACTCTCACACTCACTCATCCTCACTACTCTCACACTCACTCACACTCTCACACTCACCACTCTCACCACACTCACACTCACCAGTCTCACACTCACTCACACTCCCACACTCACCACTCTCACAACTCTCACCACTCTCACACACACCACTGTCACTCTCCCTCACCACGCGTATATCTCTGCTTGCCTCTGTGAGGGAGAGGGAGAAGAACTCTCTCACACTCACTCACTCTCTCTTTTTTTACGATCAGAGGAAACAAGAAGATGCTCGGTGTAGTCGGCACTTTGCTCCGTTCATCATTTCGTTTTTTTGGTTTTTTTATGTTTTGCTTTATGTAACCCCCCCCCCCCCCGCTTTTAAATGAAAGACCCAACAAAATATTTTTTTATTTTTTTCTGCTCTCCTTACCCCTTCCCTCTCTCTCTACCCCCCTCTCTGCCCCCCTCTCTCTCTGCCCCCTCTCTGCCCCCCTCTCTCTCTGCCCCCTCTCTTCCTACTCCATTTCGCTCTCTCTCGCTCACTCTCTCGCGCTCTCTCTTTATTTATAACTACGACAAGTGCTGCACCTGCACGCAGCCCTTCCCATAGTCAAACGGCCTCACTCACTCTCGCCACCTTATCTCTGTGAAGGAGGAACCCACTTGCCACTCTGGAAGTTACCCCTGTGTGAGTGAGGGGTAAGTGTAAGAGACGGAGAGAGAGAGAGGGAGAGGGACTCACTCCTCCTCACACGGGGAGTGGAGAGCGTGCGAGTGAGAGAGAGATGGACTCCCTATTCACTCTCACTCCACCCTATTCACTCTCACTCCTCGCTCACAAACTCCCCCTTGCCTCACCCCTCCATCTTCATCAGACGGAGGGGAGAATGGAGACGGAGTGAGGCGCTCACCTCTACTCTCACATGCACCTCGACATCCCCTCTCATCGTTGATCCCCATCCCAACACCGCTGTAGCAATCCCCCGCCTCTCACATCCCTACCTCACAATCCCACCACCTCCCTCACGTGCGCGAGAGAGCACGAAAAGAGTGTAAGGGAGAGTGATGGGCAAGAGGTATGGTAGAGGCAGGGCAGAGTTGTTAACATCTCACCACCGATGTTAACTCCCTCACCCGGTATACAGGAGGTCGTGGGTTCGATCCCGACCCTGACGCCTGCTGCTGTATGTTTGGAGTCTGCGTCTCTCTCGCTCACCGTGGTTAGTTGGATTTTTTTCCGGGGTTTCCCTCCACATTTAGAGACGTGCGTTTAAAGTTGAAAGTGCTGTATTTGACTGCTATACATTTTCACGTGATAAGCCACTTCGTTCAGCTATCATTTGTGACCAGGTTGCTTCTGAAAAAGAGTATCTGTGTTGTCTCTCTCTGCTTGTGTGTCTGCCTGTGTGTCTCCGTGTCTGTGTTTTGTCTCTCTCTCTCTCAAATT